TCTAATTAAGGATATGATCATCATCATTTAAACTGATTGAATAACTATTGGAGATAATTTCCTTAATCAATGTGCGAATTTGAAATTGATGGTTATCACATTCTCTCTCTTCATGTCCCCTTTTTGCTTCAAATTCCATTCGCATTAATCGTCTCCCTCCTCTATTCTCTCCCTTAAGGCGATCATATTTTCTTCTCACTGATGCCGCCTCGCTTTACTTTTGTTGTCCTCGGCTGCTGCCTAGCCAGAATCACCTGAATATTTTATTTGAAAAGTGTAATAATGTTGTTGGTCGATTGACTCAATTGTGAAGATGACTTCTAAGGAGCCGTTTGTTTAGAGGGAATTGGATTCGGGATTCGAAAACGGAATTCATTGAAGTCTTTGATTAATGGGATTCACGATTCCTGAGATAGACTGAATCCAATAGATCCATTCTCACCCTTCCCCTCATGATTCGATTGATTCAATTTCTGAATCCTTTTTTTCTTTTCTTTTTTTAATTTAAAATAAATACTTTAATTATTTCCTTTTCTTTCTTCTCTTCCTCTCTCCTCCATCCCATTTCTCTCTCCCCGTAAAATCTTTTTCTTCCCCTTCCCTTTTTTGCTTCCCTTTTTTATGGCTCCAAATTTCTTTCCATTCATGGATTAAAAAACTACAGTTCTGAGATTTCTATCTGGACTTGTTTGATCTAATCCTAGTCAGCCTCAAGATTTTTTTTTCAATTCTTGTTTTTTTTAATTGAGTGTTTCCCGTCGCCGTCATCTTCAGTGGTTTTCAGATCTGAGATTCTCCATTTCAATTGGAATTGGGTGGTGTTTATTCGGCCGCCGTTATTGACATTGAAAAGCTTTTTAATTGATTGAGATTTGGGATTGAAGGGGTGAAAGTGGAAGTTTTCTGAGGTTTAGATTGTGGTCAACGAAGGAGATGGTATGTGGTGGCAGCATTCATGGAAGATGGGTGGTGGTGGTGGTGGCGGTTTTCGGTAGGGAAGTGGTGGCGGCGGCGGGGGAGGAGGCAGAACGGTGGGGAAGGAAAAAAAAAAAATTTCATCTTATTTTTTGTTTTTATAATAATAATAATAATAATAATAATAATAATAAATAGCAATCCATAACTCAAACCATATGCAGTGTTTGGATTCACGAATCCGAGGGAATTCGAGTCCAATCCAAATCCAATTCCTAATTTGTTTCCTAATCCGTTTTCAGATGACAAAACAAACGCCTCCTAAATCCTTTTGATATTTGTGATAGATTTGCAGCGGCTTTCGGGTTTCAACAAAAGGCTAGGAGGAAATTCAGATGTTCACATTCAGTTAAATAGGTTAATTATTTTTGCTTTCATTTTTGTTATCATTCAAAGGAATATGGATTTATGTGGATAAAATGAGTTGCTTTGATGATTTGTTTTATTCGCTACAGCCTTGACAAGTTCTATACTACCTTTTATGCATATTGCGCTGTCGGCAACATAAACGACATGTCTTTTAGATCTAAAGAGGAAGCATTTTTTTTGGCCTTGGTTTTTGCTCAAGAAAATTTGTGCACACCCTGGTATTAGTGTCGTGTATTTGTTAATAAATTAATCTATCGCTTAACCTCAATGTAAAGTGCTATTAATATTTATGGAATTACTGTAATGATTTTCTGTTTACACATCTGACCTTTAAAAATATTTTTGACAGGATGTGATAGTGATGTAAAATGTTTTCAGGAAGTTTTTCATGTAGTATGGTTTCGGATTTTTTAACATCTTCTGTCATTTTTTTTTTTTTGCCTTTTCTCTTAAAAGATTAATAATAAGATTAATGTGTATGTAGTCGTCTTGATGAAGAACCCCCCGGTGCTGCATATGGATATGGTTTTTTGTCCTTTGATCTCTCATATTATTAAAGGTATGAAAAAATATATAAAGGTACGATCTCAATCGTAATTAATCTTCTTTATTTACTTTTTTTTTTCGTGGGAAAGCTAATGAATTTGTGTGAGTATAACGTCAAGACATCAGGCTTGGTGCTGCTTTTATGTGTATTTGGAAAGGGTTTTGTTATCGGGGTCTTGGTGCTTTTGAAAAAGGGGATTTTCCTGGAACTTAAGAATTAACTGGATTTTGGAATTTGGATAGATTAAAGTTGTTCAAAAAGAATGAGTCAGGTCAACTGATTTTCAGCAGAGATGCTATTATGGTTAATCAGTAGACTGATTTTGCTGTTGTGTTCAAGTCTCTCTTAACTGTTTGCTTACCTCCCTTAATTTGGCATCTTTACGAAGGCATATTGTTATCCTTACCAAATAAGAAACCATGAAACATTTGCACACAAAGGCAACTACTCCTGCGGGTCCTAATAATAAGACACAATTTTGAACTAACTTCAGTGTTAATTTGTGCCTTCTAATTAGGACCAGAAGGAGTATTAAAGTTTGACAGGTCTCTTTGAGTACTTGACATGTGTGTTTGAATGTGTCCCTTGCACATTGTTGCTTGTTCATGAATATTAAAGCTAGAAGTTCAGAGATTTGGCAACCTTCAAAGTTCTGCATGACGGGTCGTTTAGCAGGGAATGTGATAGCTGCTAGATGGCGCTTATTGCTTCAGTTCCAGAAAGTTGGAAATATGTGAAAAGGAGATTGCTAATTTAAAGCCAATATATCTGCCAAGAAAGAACTGCTGGGGAACAGTATCCGTATATCATATTAGTAATGCCCAGTGATAACTGAATGACTACTATTCCAGTCACTCACTGCATTAAGTGACTATGAATACGTTGCAAATTGCCGTGTGGCATTGTCAAGGACATATATATGTATATATATATCATAGGATGTTGAAAAAGTTTTTTAGCCAGGAACCTGACAGATTGGTGGCCGATTCAACTACTTTTCTTGGACAGATTGGTGATAGAAGAAGTTTCGTTATAATCACAATTTGTAGCTGTCTTATAGTTTAACAGGAGTGAAAAAGCAATATTATAAGGACGTAAGGCAGGCGTAATACGTGAAATTATCATATCAAAAGATCAATTCATTTAACTAATGTACAACAAAAAGTTAACTGCTAAAAGCATTACATACACAGATGGGATAGTTGCCAATTTCCTACTGGCCAGTGTTGGTTTTTTTTCTCCTATGAAATCCATAGTTCTTAGCATGATTGCCTTCGTAGCTTGGATTTATCAGTTGTACTTCTTGTTAATGCAAAATGTCACGGGGAAAAAGAGAAAAAAGGGATCAAGTAGCCAAAGTTGGTTGATAATTCAGACAACGTTCCCTGGATTCAACAGTTTGTGGTACTTCTTGCTGCAGTCCAACTCCAACATCATGACCATCTCAAACTGCGCAACCTCTTTTTGACAGTTTGTTACAAATTTCTTACATCTACAAATTATTCTGTGCAAAGAAAATGGGAAGAAAGTAGGGCGAATTATGCTTTGATTATTCTTCTTGTTGACCATTATGGTATAAATGACTTGTTCGGATTATGAAAACTCCATGTTTTTGACAAGAGTAAGTCGGTCAATATTTTTTTTTTGGCTATTAACGTCACGAATTAGGACATAATGAGCTCATTGCGAATTGGATTGTGAAATTATCAACGAATATTCTATTCATCTGGAAACACGTCATGAGCTTTTTCTCTCCTCTTTTATTAGCCCCCCAAAAAAAAAAGGATTAGTTTATTCTAAACAAAACAAATAAAGTGTTGTTGCATCAAGCCATCAGCACCATGGTTTCATGAAACACACACATGGCTTCTCGCTTAATACAAGAATACAATGAGAGAACCCTTTTACGCGCTTCTACGCAGGACTCACAACAAAGAAAACATTGAAAGACAAAAACTTTTTCTCTTTTTTTTTTTTAAATGTAATCTTTGGCGTGAATTTTTTCCAATTTGTATTCTTTCCTAAAAGATATAACATTATATAGTTACGACTAAATTTAAATCGAATAAGTTAAATGACACAGATCGAACTTCGAACCATAATCGCAGTTAACATGAATAATTCCATCAAACTTGGAAATTGAATAATAATTTAGCAGGAATTTATGGTGTTACTTCCACCTTCTAATGAATTGACTGATTTTTATTAGGAGAAAAATAACAGTAAGGAAAAGGCCCATTAATTCCTTTAGAAAAAAAAAAAAGAAAGGAAAAACTAAAAAGGGACAATTCATATTATTCCGCGGATCAAACGACTATATATACACGAAATCGGAAATCAGTCAAATTACCAAAAACAGAACCAAATCTTAGAACTTAAGACAAGAATCAGCATCTAAAACCTTTTTTTTTTTTTTATAATTTTTACATAATAGTAGTTAAAGCACAAATCTATTCACGCTTTTGTACGACAATCCGGCAAATCTCATGTTCATTCATTCATGCCAACTTCCATCTAATTTGATACCCCAAAAACTTACTTTATAATTCTAATTCCACCACCACCACCACCGCAGCGCCACCCGGACCACCGCAATAACCCGCACTAGTCCACCGCAACCCCCATGTGAACCTTCCACAAGCTTCTCCATCATCCAGCTCTTCCCTCACATGGCCCTCCACTAAACCAATTTCATACTTCTTTTTTCAAAAGGTACCAAGATTTGAAGTCTAAACCATCATTATTTTATACGCACACACACAGTTCATTGTTTCTGAAAGCCAGCTTAACGAACTGTGTACGCTTATGAACCTGTAAAGTTTGGATTTTTTTTTTTTTTTTTTTGGCAACCGGCTGCTGTTTTCTCGCCGACCCTTTGTCCAAAATCAAAAACCCATTTTCAGTTGATGTCGGTTTCTTGCGGTGTAGAGTGTGTGCTGGTGTTGGGCTGCTTACGGTGGGGATGGAAGCGCTGCACTTACATAGGCTCCTATGATAGCCAAGCTTGGCCTAATGCCACGGCTGAAGAATTCGAACCCATCCCCAGGATTTGCCGAGTAATTTTAGCCGTCTATGAGCCGGACCTCCGCAACCCCAAATACTCCCCTAGCGGCGGTTTCCGCCTCAACCCTGATTATTTGATCAAGCGCGTTACTTACGAGCAAACTCAAGGCAATGCCCCGCCTTATATTATTTATGTCGATCATGACCATTCAGAAATTGTCTTGGCTATTCGGGGTTTGAATTTGGCTAAAGAGAGTGATTATAAGTTGTTGCTGAACAATAGGATTGGAATGCAAATGTTTGATGGGGGATATGTCCATCACGGTTTGTTGAAATCAGCGATTTGGTTGTTGAACGAGGAGTCCGAGACTTTGAAAAGGATTTGGGAAGAGAATGGGAGAAGTTATAAGATGGTTTTTGCAGGGCATTCTTTAGGTTCTGGTGTGGCTTCCTTGTTGACTGTCATTGTGGTGAACCATAGGGATAGGTTAGGGGGAATCCCGAGGAATCTTGTGAGGTGTTATGCTGTTGCCCCCGCAAGATGTATGTCACTCAATTTGGCGGTGAAGTATGCTGATGTTATCTACTCTGTGGTGTTGCAGGTAACTACTTTCTATTTGAATAGAGCTCTTTAGAGTTTTGTATGTTCTTTAGTTCTTTCAATTATTATCATCATCAAAACAGTTATATTTGTATGGAAGCGACAAAGGCTCTACTTTGAGCACTAATGGTACTTTGCACTTCTAGTACATTGCTATATTGAGCTCAACCCTAAGTAAAGCATAAAATGGTTTCCACACTAATGAATATTGCAAATGGAACTTGTTAAAACCAAGTCTAAATCTATGCAAAAAGTTCAGTGGAAAGTTTTGCTTAGGAATGCAAGTTATTCCTTTTCCAACAATCCTTAAGATTCTCCATAATTCAGTAGCTTTTTCGAGGAAAGAATTGATTTGGTATATGCGAAAGAGTATTTATGAGTTAGGAAGTTCTAGTTTGCCTGAAATTATGAGTTGCATGGGGACTCTTCCTTCCTGCTTGGAAGGTATACTAGAAAATAAACCGATTAGGATATTTACTCGCAAGCATAACAGTGAAGTTCTGTCTTTTGTACTGTTTGACTATCAAAATTCAACTTTATTATTCGCGTTCATTCTGTTAAAGAATTCTCTTCACTTTGATATTTAAAAATTTGTCAGGATGATTTCTTACCAAGAACTGCCACCCCTTTGGAAGATATTTTCAAATCCATTTTCTGGTTAGTTTTTCTAGACATTTTGAAGGATATAATTCTTGTTTCACCTCTTCATTTTGTTACTTAGGAGTAAATTCCTATCATTATTCCTTAAACCAGGCCTTGATGCTTTCAACAGTTTGCCATGCCTACTCTTCCTCGTGTGCTTGAGAGATACCTTCATACCTGAAGGTAGGAAGCTAAGAGATCCGAGAAGACTGTATGCGCCTGGTCGAATGTATCATATTGTGGAGCGGAAGTTTTGCAGGTGCGATTCACTGGTACTACTGCACATTGAAAATTTATTAACTCTATTGTTAACTAAGACAAACCGCAGACCACATTACCAATCCACAATCGGTACAGACTTGTTTGTGCACCTGGATTGGATCTCACTTTACTATATTTACAGATGCGGAAGGTACCCTCCAGAAGTTAGAACGGCAATCCCAGTAGAAGGTAGATTTGAGCATATTGTTTTGTCGTGCAATGCTACGTCAGATCATGCAATCATTTGGATCGAAAGAGAATCAGAAAAAGCATTGCAAGTAAGTACCAATACCAAAGTTTCCTCGCTTGGTCTTTTGGATGTCTAGTTTTCTTTACTTGTGGATGTTGAACAATAATCGAATTTTGTGTTTGCATCAGTCTCATCAATACTAAGATTATCTGCCAGCACCATTTATCCAGAAGTCAAAGTGTTGGACGTGAGAAAATGATTGTACACATGAGAGCCGAGCTAATGCTTTTAGATTCAATGTTACAGCTAATTCTAGTTATGAATGACTATGCTCTCAGTCTCAGCTCCCATCCTTATTATTTTGAGCCGACCTTCTAATTTATAAAATAGTGTATCACTTCTCTAAAAGTAATTGAGTCTGTGAATTCAAGTGTTCCTTTATGGATTCCCAGTCTCCTTAGCTCATCAAGTTTTGTACATTTTCATTTCTTGACAGAGACTGAAAGAAGATAGTACAGAGACGATTACCAGTGCACCAAAAGTACAAAAATTTGAAAGGCTACACACTATAGAGAAAGAACATAAGGATGCTCTAGAAAGAGCTGTCAGCTTAAATATACCTCACGCGGCCTCCCTAGGAGAAGAAGCAGAATCACCAGGGCAGAATAGTGTAGATCAAAGTCAAGATGTGGGTGACGAGGAGACGAATGCACAGAAAACAAGTACAAGGAACTCTGATGCAAGAACTAACTGGAATGAATTAGTCCAAAGACTTTTTGAGAGGAATGAGTCTGGACGATTACTTCTAAAGAGCCAAGTCCCGGAAACTTTGTAACTACTTGTCGCAAATCATACTGTGATGATCTTGTTGTGAGATATGTTTGTTTCCTTGGTTTCTTTCCTATACCACACAAAAAAATAAAAAAGGGTCATGTTGGCTGGTGTTGCACTGTTGCTATCAATTTACACTCGCAGGATCCTCTTGTCATGAATTTGCAAAATGCAATATTCCTGTACCCAATATACAGATAACAAAACCAACATTCCCGGACGACAACTCATTGAACAATTGAGTGAATCATGCTGTAATTGCTTCTGCTTCAATTAATATCACATAGAAGGATACCGCATTGAATCTTTTAAAAGCCCCAGTAGAAATCTCAAGTCACAGCCAGTAAACTAAAGGAAACTAAATGATGGCAATAGTCAACTGCAGTGCCAGATGACTAGCAAAACAAAAGCATTCAGCAAAAACTTTGTACAACTGAAATCCCTGATCCTATATAGGTTTTTCTAGGCAGATTCAAAGAGCAGGTAGGATGCAATCAAGATTGCATTGCTCCAGCATGATAGGCATCAAGCTCTTTGTCAAGATCGTCAGCAGATTTCACAACTTTCTTTTTTCCCCGGCCAGCACCTCCACCTCGTCCTCGGCCACGTCCACTAGTTGCTGCACGGCCCCTGAAACTGCCACGACCTCTTGGCCTGTATTAAAAGGAAGAGGAACCAGATATTCACATTAACCAAGTTGCATCTTTCTTTGCCAACCAACTATGCTGTTGCATTCTCATTTAAAAGCTTCAAAATGGGAGATGCTTACCCCATGCCACCTCCTCCACGATTCACAGGGGGGCCTCTAGGTCGTCCGGATCCTGGCCTGATAAACCCACAATAGACGGTAAGTAGAGCTTTAAAAATTTCAGCTCCAAGGAAACTTCCTACCACACAATTTTTCACTTGAGAAGTCCCCAAATTCCAAACCAATAAACCAAAATTCCGTCCAGTAAGGCTTAAAAAGGAAAGACTACAGACATCAAAGTGAATGGGATTGGAGATGAAGTTACTACCAGTTGAGCCATGAACAGAATACATAAACAAGACAACGTTAAGGAAGCAAACACCAAAAAACACGAACAGGCAAAAGCTAATCTAGGAAGCACCACCACAAAAGACACAAAAGGTCAAAGAGAAGAACTCACGTCATGACAACTGTCCTCCGCCTTCCATTTCCACCAACCACATTGACTCGAGCTGAAACAGGAATCTCAGGTTTGGTGCCAACTATTTCTATCTTCATTGGCTTCCCATCCAATTGCACATTGTTATATTTCTTAAGCGCCTGGACTGCATCACTTCTTCGAGCAAACAATACTTCGGCTGAGCCCTGTAGACATAAAAAACCAATCGGAAATGAGATGAAAGAAGAAAAAGTCAGACCAAGAAGATACTGCAAAGGATTTAAAAACACGAGCCTAGTGAGTTCAAAACCTTTAATTGTTCTTTAAGAAAAATCCAAAGAAAGAAATTAGAGAGACCCAAGAATCCTCATTAAGTAGAATTTAAATTCCAGGAAGCATTGAAGATGGTAGAATCCTTACACTTGGACGGCCATTTCTGTCATAGTGGATTGCATATCGTACCAGTTCACCAATTTCAGAGAAGAGTTCCTGTGTCGCAAAGTCATTCCAACAAATCTCATAAGGACAGGCCCTTGCAGGGTAGATTATAAAGCGAAAAATCACGGCTCAATTTATACCCTTATATCTTCACTGGTCACTCCACTGTCCAAGTTAGAAACAAACAACTTTGTCCCACTATCTAATCCTGGTAATCCAGCAGCTTTGAGACTATCTTCAAACAAACCATTCTGCCATGGCAGGTTCTTGGTTCTGCGGAAAGACTGATGCAAGCATGCCCAAAAAATATTGAGATTGGGGAAACAAAATAGTACCAAGCCAAAATTCAATTCACTGTGCTTCAAGAATAAATCACATCAAGTGCTCTCACTACCAATAGCATCAGCTACTTTGACACAATCAAACAACAAATGCATCTAATACCAATCAGAAAGAAAAGTATTGTGTAGATGGAAGATGAGGATTTGACCCACTGCACATCCACTGGGCCATGCAAAAGGTAAGAGCTCCTGTTCTGAAGTTCAGCAAAGGAAGCCACCTATGCAAAGATGCCACAAACTTGGACAGGGACCTGAATGTCTCCCCCATGAAGTATTTCCAAATACAGCACAATGAGATCCATCAACTTTCCTTCTAATCCACAACCAATTATGAGCATATTTTTGTTACTATTTGAAAGGATTTAGATATTGCTAATGATGTGTGCCCCCTAGTGGTCAACAGATTAGCAATGAGAAAGCCAATAATTATCAACTAATGAAGCTCCTCTAAATAAGATGCTAACTAGTAGCATTAAGATTAGCGGGCCATCAGAAAGATGTTGCATTGGCTGGCAAGAGGCCGCCAGTAAGAGAACTAGCACTACACACACTAGTGATGCCACCAAAAAACTTCTTTTGTCAAAAAGATCATTTGCAATTGTCCTTCAACAATAACCCAAACATGTGTAGAGACTGCGATGATACTGGAGCAAGGGCACTACTAGATAACAGCTGTTTAGAACTCAACCAACATTGCACCTCTCCTTGAACCAAAATAAGCTTACAGAAACCTCTCACATTTGAATTTGTAAAGGAAAGTTAGAGAATTCCTTCCGTGTTTCGTTCTTAATGCATATCAGACTTTGTAGGAAAAGCATAAGACATCCATAGTTTTGTGCTTGCCTTGGCAATAGTAAAGGCTGAAGGCCGAGCATTCACACCAAGCGGGCCCCGCCGAGGAGCTCCTGTTGACCTTCCACCTCTAAATGAGCCACCTGGCCCACCTCTGCCACGGCGAGCCCTCCCCTGTCCTCTGCCTCCTCTCTCACTGTTACGCCTGCTTTTTATCATGTCGTCAAGTGACATATCCAATGAGGCCATCGAGTCCACAATCAAATCTCAGCTAACAAAACCTGCAAATGCCAGAAGAGGCTATCATACTGTATTCATATCTCTTGGACAGATTAAGAGCCAAACAAATGTTTGTGAGCAAAATCACATATATATGGATGTTTAGTAACACTAATAAATAAACAAAAACAGCCATCCATTAAACCCCCTCCTCCTACCATTTAACTCATTATGCCCTTTCTACAAATAGATGGTTAATCTAGTTCTTGTTGTGCTCTGAATTAAATGAACTCACAAAGCCAAAAGTTAAGGCTAAGCAATTAACACATTCAGGGCAGAATAATTATTAGATAGAGTGATGAAAAAATTATTCAAAGAGCAAACCATCAACAAAACAAGCTCTTTACCAATAGACAGAAAACAAATTCCAAAAACAAAGAGAAAATCAAGGCAAACAACGAAGAGAAACAGACGTAAAGGCAAGCGGTAAAAGAATCTCAATTCAGATTCAGACTAGAAAGTCAACATCAAACAAATATACATCAAAATAAAACAATTGAAGGCTAATACAATCTCCTCAGCGAACACATAATATAATTCAAAGGAGGCTACAACTACATGTGCCGTGATAATATTCCAATAAAGACAGATCCACAGATTACAAATTGAAATTAAAAAAAAAAAATCCGCAAATCTCAGTTCATACGTTGCAGTCCCATCTTCACAGATCGAACGAGAGCTTCAAAAGAAAATTACCTAAAAAATCTTTTCGCAACGAGCGAAGGACTCGAGCTTCCACGCGAAAGGATTTTAAGCAGGGTAGAATCACGCAATTCCGAACAGAAACGAGATGGAGGAGGATTTGGGAGTTTGGTTACAGATTAGGGTTTGGAAGAGAAGAAAAGGGGGCGACCAAGGATTGGGAGAAATCTTTCCGAAGAAGAAAATAACAGAATAAGAGGGCCGGGAGATAATTTGGGGGCGTAGACTACAGCCAAGAGGTGACTATGGCCTTTATATAATGCGAGTGCGTGGATAAAACTCGGGTCGGTTATTACGTAGTGGACTCCGTACAAATAGGTGGGCTTTTGATCCGTGATTTGTATTGGGCTTTAACTTTCTTTTCTGAATGGGCTGGAAGCTAATTGGCCTGTCGGGCATTTTTCAACCGCCACATACTCGTATGACTGACTGTTGAACACCCGCCTATTCCTCCTCACACAGAAATTGGAGAAAGGGGGAAAACACAAACAAGACGCACAAGGAAAGGCGGGCGAAATGCGAACCAGAAATCGATCCCGGGAAACTCAGAAATCAAACGGTATCCTCCCAATATGTTTATCAAACTCTGCAAAAAAGTTGCAATCTTTTTGTAATCATTCCGTGTTTGCTGAGTAACTTGTATAAAATTTAAAGTTTCGGACCCCATTGAGAGTGTTGATTTTGTTCAGTTCCTGAGGAATCCTTTTAGTATCCAGCTACTTTTATGGGTTGTGAAAATGATTTTTGAAGTGAATTTTATGAAGAATTTTCGAGATGGTTCTTCTCTTTTTGGAGTTTTGGTAGTATCATTACCTTTGTTAGTTTCCCCCGGGGGGATAAAGATAATGCCTGAAGAGTATAAAATTGTCCAATTTATGGTTTACATATGTAAAGTGTACAAGTAGTGGTTGCAAAGCTTTTACTGCATTTTGTTTTTCTTGGAATCTTTTTATTACTGTACAGACTTAAAGAAGTAGGCTTCCTATGGCTTCAATTTTTCTCCTGGTATTATTTTCCTGGAAAGAAAGTTAAATAGAAAGGGTAATTAAACCAAAAAAAAAAAAAAATGAAACAAAAAAGGGAACAGCGTATAGTCCTTCAGAGACTTGGTTAAGTTGGTTCTTCTTTGGTTCAGATGAAGAAGATCGGTTTAAGCACTCTGGCATTGGAGAAAAAAGTACCATCGTTTCAGACAAAATTGATGATTCTGGTTAGTTGAGTTCGTCCTGTTTATGGTTTTGCATTAATTCATTGAACCTTAGTATAAGATTGTGGTTGAAATGGCTATCCTGTTGGAATACGATGACAGAAACACTTGATAATGTATCTCGGCATGCTGTAAAAAGACTTTTGAAACATGGAAAGTCTCAAGGCTCGAGGGAAGTAGATGACACTTATTTATGTCAAATTGATTTGAAAAGTAAGGTAAGGTTTTATATGATTGTGGCTTATCGATATTCCTTGAATCACTGGCAGTTATTACTTTAAATGGAGCATTTCAGTGTTAACTTCTATTCAGTTATGGTCCTACGTGACTTGGTGATACAGTCCAAATTTTCAGTATTCATATTTTATATTTCTTACAATTTGAGCTTAAGTTCTTTTGTCTTTCCAGCTAGATAATGATTTTGGAAAAACTGCCGGAGTCCATGGTGGAGGTAGCAGTAAAAATGTTGCAAATTCTCCTTCAGGATCTGTCCCAAAAGATGAACTTGATGACCTGGAATGGGAATATGGATCAGTTCCGAAAGGCAGTCCAAACAAACATGCTTTAGACCAGACAATCAATGGGGTAACAGTTGAATTTGATGTTTCACCTAGTGCTGCAAAGCAGAAGTCCATACGTCGTGCAACTTCTGAAGAAAAGGTGAACTAGCTTTCAGTAAAAATTCAATAGAGGTGCTTCCTGTTGGCTGTATTTATATGAGCAACTGATTATCTAATCATCAACTTGTAACAGGAAGTGGCTGAGCTTGTGCATAAGGTTAATTTGCTTTGTTTACTAGGGAGGGGAAGGTTGGTTGATAGTGCTTGCAACGATCCTCTCATTCAGGTTATTTTCTTCTTGATAAATTATTTAACCAGTTCTTGTTGATTGTGCAAGAGCAGTGGGTTTTTCTCCAGTTAAATGTGTTTGGCTTCTTTGTCTTGCTGATGTAGTTTATCCTAATTTAAGCTGATAAGTTTGAGGAATTATGGAACTTGTTGAATGTGTGATTGCTTATACTCTTTACATTTGTCTTAATTTCTCAATTCCTTCCTGTAAGCAGTAGCACTTGCATAAACACCACAGTTCATTGATATTGTGCTTTTGATGGTACTGCACATCTCGATTTTTGGGTTAAGGAGTCATTCTAAAAGGAGTTGGTGAGGAAACTGCTTGATCAATATCTGTGATATAATTGGGGGTTGGATATGACGGTCGCAAAAATTATTTCAAAATTGTATTGGTAATGCTGGAAATAAGATGCATAGGCTGATGATACCTTGTTTGTTTACTTAAGTTTTATCTCACTTTTTAAGCTAATGGCAGGCATCTTTGCTATCAATTCTTCCAACACGCTTGCATAAGATCACGGAGGATCCAAAATTGACTGCAAAGGCTCTGACTCCAGTTGTTGAATGGGTAGATATCTAGTTGTTTGATTGAATGCATATTTTTTCTATTCTATCTCAGCTAGCTCAATATGCTAACAGCTTCCATTTGATGCATTCATGTATGGCTTTCAGTTTCACAATAGTTTTCATGTTAGAGGTCCTGGAAGTGCTGAAAAGCCACCTCATTTGGCTTTGGCTTCTGCTCTTGAGGCTTACGAAGGGACTGCTGAAGAGGTATTATTCATTTCTTCCTTGTTATATGAGCTCTACGTATTTTATTATCACATTGTTATTGACACAAAATGGAATTGATGGGAAAAGTCTTCTGTGTACAATGTGAATAACTGTGTCGTTGTCTGCGACATGAGATCTGTTATTGACACGAAAGGCATTAAAAGTATGCATTCTCTGCACAGTCCATCTGCGATCTTTTGCTCACATTGTTGTTATTAATGACATCAAATGTGCAGTGGAAGGAATGTTATTGTATTCTTTGTCTTTTGGCGTGATCCCTGGAATTAAATACACATAAGATTTCATTTTTTTCCTGTAACCTCTATCCTGAGTTAATATTATTATGCAGAAGATGGATACTTTTTGTGCTGTTTTTGCGTTAATTATGTGCCTTTTTATTCATGCAGGTTGCTGCCTTATCTGTTGCATTATTTAGGGCTCTGAACCTTACTGCTCGGTATGGTGTCTAGACAAAACTTAGAATCTTTCCTCTGTTTTTAAGCAGTTCCCTGTATTTAATCTCTCTGTGCTCCCCTCCCTTTTGGTGGGTTTGTAATAAATTTTTAAGCTGTGAACCTTTAATCGTGAATCAGATCTAAGTAAGCGTCCTAGTTCACCTTAATCACTTTCTGGAGGAGATGGAAACCACGAACCTTTTTGCAGGACCAAGAGATTACCTTTTTGTTTTGATATTTTAAGATGGAATACATAATGTATGTGCTAGATTAGTTATCATGTTATCGTGATTGGTTAAATCTAAATGGCTGTTCTGATGTATTGTAAATCAAATTCTTGGACTCCGTTCTTACTATGGCCTCCTGACTAAATGTGAATTAGTATTTCTCCTAATGTTTAAAATGCATTTGAACAATCTTATCTTGATCCAATGCTCATAAATATGCTCAAGGATACAATCTACAGAATTTGAGATACAATAAGATTATGTCACATTTTCTTGTGTTCTACCCTTGTAGAAATTTTTATGTTTTGGTATCCTATTGGTTTCAAAGAGACAATTTTGTTGTATCATTTTTCTCGCTGCTTCCCAGGCCCCTTATTTGGAATATCTATGGCCTTACAATGTTTGATTGAGAAATCCATTTTCAATTTGGTGTAAGTAAGGTATTAATTTGCCTATTTTTTTTCTAGATTTGTGGCTATTCTGGATGCAGCCTCATTAAAGCCTGAAGTAGACAAACCAGAGTCTAGTAGTCAAGCTTCGGGTAAGGCAAGTGGTGGGATATTCAACACGTCCACTTTGATGGTGTCTCGATCAGGTGTTTCGCCTGTTTCTCCTTTGACACCTCTAGCATCTAATGAAAAAGACAACTGTCACCGGACATCTTGGAGATCCAAAGGAAAAGCTAAGAAGTTACTGGAACTAGATCCTGATATTAAAGATTTCTCTGGTGATGATACATTCAAGGACATAATACCCAAGCCATCAGCTCCTTCTGTATGTCAAGATGGTCTATCTGATGCAGAGTTGGCCACAAAGACACAGAGATCAAAGAGAAAAGGAGATCTTGAATTTGAAATGCAGTTGGAAATGGCTATTGCTGCCACAGCAATTGAAAGTTCTAAAACTGATGTGGACTCAGATATGATGGACGTGCATGATATGAACTCACAACTCATTTCTCCTTCAAAAAAGATTAAACTAGTGAAGACAGAAGATTCTCCAGTATCTTCTTCTGTGATGTCAACAGCTATAGGGTCACGAAAAGTTGGAGCTCCCTTATACTGGGCAGAAGTGTATTGCTGCGGCGAGAATTTGACTGGAAAATGGGTGCATGTGGATACTGTCAATGCAATTATTGATGGAGAGCATAAAGTGGAAGCAGCAGCAGCTGCATGCAGAAAGCCTTTGAGATATGTGGTAGCGTTTGCAGGACATGGGGCTAAAGATGTGACCCGCAGGTTTGAAGTTCATTGTGTGGATTGTTTAGTATATTATATGAATGTTCAAAGACTGGTTTGTCTAAGTTTTTTTGGAGGAAACCTGATTAACTATTCCATTTAGGTATTGTATGAAATGGTACAAGATAGCATCACAGCGTGTTAATGAAATTTGGTGGGATGCTGTATTGGCACCCTTGAAACAGTTGGAGTCACTTGCTACTGGTGGCATTGTTCACTTGGAGCAGGAAGCTTCAACTGTGAAAAGGAAGATGGTGGCTTGTGAAGAAGCTGATGCTAAAAGTTGTATGACAAATTCTCTTCCACCAATTAGAAGTTCCCTTGAAGATATGGAGTTGGAAACTAGGGCTCTGACTGAACCTCTCCCAACCAATCAACAGGCATGTGCTAAAGAATCATTTGATCTGCTTTTCCTTGATGAGCTTGATGTTTTTATGATATTCTCACTTTTATGCAGGCCTACAGAAACCATAAATTATATGCTATTGAGAGATGGCTTAACAAATATCAAATTCTACATCCAAAGGGGCCAGTATTGGGGTTCTGTTCTGGTCATCCGGTATACCCGCGAACTTGTGTACAGACACTTCACACCAAAGAGAGATGGATGCGGGAGGGTTGCCAACTAAAAGCTGGTGAACTTCCAGCAAAGGTGTGATTAATTGCATAAAGTCACTATTGGTGATGCCTAACATAGGTCTAAATTCTTATGGTGCTTGATTGTGCATTTGTTTATGTCGTTTATCTGCAGATTTTGAAAGGCTCTTTAAAGCAAAACAAAGAACAAGCTGCTGCTGCTGATGATGATGAAATTGTTAACGGGGATCACATTGCTCTTTATGGGAAGTGGCAGACAGAACCTTTATGTCTTCCTCGTGCTGCAGATGGAATTGTCCCCAAGGTACATTTTTGTAAATAAATATCAATCAATTGGAGCATTTTGATGCTTGAGGAAAATCACATAATTTGACAAAGATACGTGAACAGTCAAAATTATCGGAATAATATTTTCTTCACCATGCCACTTTTTTTTTTTTTTTGGTGGATTACTAAATGATGTGAAATACCACATTTGTATTTGTATATATTTGGGTGGCTTCAATAAAACAATGCATTTGTGGTGTTTTCAGAAAAGCTACCTCTTAATTGATGCTGAACCCTTGTCCATAGGCTCTTTACTTATCAGAAGTAGCTAGTTTCTGCAAAAATTACATCCGATATAAGCACTTAGTATATGGGAGGACCGGTTTTAATGTTTTATATTATTAGTTCTTGTGGTTGTAGTAGTCCTTTTGCTCTTTGGCTATGGAGGAAAACTTGGGGTGTTATTTTGGCTATGTAGCTTATGGTCTAATGCAGAAGCTGTGCACATTGGAATGCAAATGGTGAATGTAGCCTGTACACTTGATAAAAATATCTTTACTGTTTTTTCTCTGATTGTTACTCCTGGGACGACTTCCGATCTAGTTTCTTACACAAACTTTTTTTTTTTTTTGGTTTGATTGTTACCCCTGGGAATGACTTCCAATCTAGTTTCTGACAAAAACTTTTTTTTTCTCTGATTGTTACCCCTGGGAACAACTTCCGACCTAGTTTCTTACAAAAACTCCTTGAAGTTAAAGTTGTGCTAACTAATGCTATCATTTCTAGAATGAGCGTGGCCAGGTGGATGTTTGGTCAGAGAAATGCCTCCCTCCTGGAACTGTTCACTTGAGGTTGCCAAGGGTAGCAGTTGTAGCAAAACGGCTCGAAGTTGACTTTGCGCCAGCAATGGTTGGATTTGAATTCCGAAATGGTCGATCTGTACCTGTATTTCAGGGCATTGTGGTGTGCTCAGAGTTCAAGGATGCAATTGTTGAGGTGATAAGCATTTACTATGTTACTGACTTTCGTATTTTAATATTTCTTTGTTGCCACTTTTATATTGTTTGTTTTTCCTTCTCTTTGGTATAAATTTTGAACTTGAATCGCCTTTCCATTTACAGTTTACATCCTGAAGACGCATTAGTTATTTGTTCTTTTCTGGATTACCAAGCTGTTTTGATTATTTTTAGGCTTATAATGAAGAAGAAGATAAAAGGATGGCCGAAGAGAAAAGGAGGAATGAGGTTCAAGCTCTTTCTAGGTGGTATCAGCTTCTTTCATCGGTTATTACCCGGCAAAGGCTGAACAATCGCTATGGGAATGGCTCTGAGCAGGAAAGCTCGGCTCTCAATCTAAAACCTAGTCATTCTCCATCTTCTGCTGAGACAGGTGATAATGAGAGTAGTCGGAAACGCCGGGGAAATCAGCAAAATAAGTTACATGATGAGAAACCTAGTGTTCAACCTTTTGTGCCCACTGAGGATCATGAACATGTATTTTTTTCTGATGACGAGTCTTTCAATGATGAGAGTTGTGTACGAACAAAGCGATGTAAATGTGGGTTTTCAATCGAATTAGAGGAACTGTAGGGCAGCTGTAACTTGCTTCTGTAACATTTTGCTGTGTAAATGTAATTTAACCCTGGGTGGAGTTAAAAAATCATGATAAAAGTATATACAGGTAAATACCGTGCGAATAGAGGATTTATTCACTGTTGCAGAGCATCAAGTTCATTCATTTAAGAATGCATGTGGGCTAGTGGTCCATTTTTGTACGTGAAGACGAGGTCAATGGATACACCCAATGAGCTGATGCCCTTCTTCTAATTCTTCATCTTACTCCTTTAACGCCCATCTCCCCAGTTTGATTTTTGAACGATGCAGGTTTGGATGGTCTGTTATGTCAGTACGTACTCGAAAGTGAGGCAAAATTTTAGTTAGTTCTATACGACGTATTGAACCTAATTAGTTGGTTCAGCAGGCTTCGAGTAATTGAATTTGAAGTTCCAAAAGTTTCATGACCAAACAGTTGAAAATTGTGAACCGGGAAAACCAAAATGTTCAAAAAATGAAATTATTGGTTGCAAAGTGCGGCTGATAAGCACGTGTTGTTCGGACCAATTCCCAGAAATAAGAGAATTCTTACATAAACACAAATGGTGTTGTCCTCATCAATCAACAGGCTCTTTTCCCATTGACTATTCAATCCAACAAGTTGGAAAGCAGAACTCCAACAATCTTGGGACCCCAGAAGCAGGCTGATTCCTATGTTGATACTACCACAATATACCATCTAATCTCTTAAGTCAGCCTTTGATGCTTCCCAGTTCCCCACATCGTACAGTTTCGTGGATAAAACTACATTATGACTGTTGGTGTTTTGAAAACTTTCCGTACAAGCACCTGGCTGATCACCATGTTTTGTCCAAGCTAAATAAATTTAGTATACTTCCTAGAACCTTCAATTTCAGCCTACTAGCATAAAGCATCATTGACGGTTTTCCCTTTCGGAGGCAGCGTAGATATACATGTTGGAACTAGTTAATGGAAGATCCAATAATTGCTCAAACAAAGAGGGGAAAGAAACCATCACTAAAAAGAGACAACAAACATCAGGTCTTTAATTAAGCAGCAATACTAGAACCAAGCTCCAAATTTACAACCATCTGAAAGACCTAAAATTAACCACCAAACTAGATAAATCAACCCACCACAACACAAAGTCAACATCATAAATCATAAGACTAGAAAAGAGGCAACTTCAAAATAAAGCACTAGTACTACTGCCCAGCTACAATGGGTTAATCATCATCATTAGATAACACCACCAAAGAGTACCAACAATTCATTCATTCTTCTTACACACCATTTGCAGCACCAACAGCCGGAGCTGGGATCACTTTCCTTGGCCTACCTCTGGGCCTGCCGGTTTTCGACACTGCCGGAGCCGGCTTGTCAGCTGGCTTAGGCTTCTTTGGTGCAGGTTCAGCATTGGGATCCTTCCTTGGGCGACCACGGCCTCTTGGAGAAGTAGGCGGGGCGTCCCCGGGGGCGGCTGCCTTCTCAGCAGATGGATCCTTGGGTTTTGGGGGACGGCCACGGCCACGGCGTGGTGGTGCAGAGGGATCAGGTAAGAGGTAGTTGTTCTTGAAGAAAACAAGTTCGCCGGAATCCTTCATACGAGTTAAATGGGCGGAAAGCAAGTTTGAATGACCAGGTGGCACTTCTCCATACTTGGATTCTATGTATTTGGATATGGCTGACTTGTTTGCCCCTTCTTTTTGCTTCAGGGCAGCAATGGCCTCCACAATCATCTGCAGCAACCCAACCACAACAGACCCAAAAAGGGGGTGGAAAATGTGATTAGTATAAAAAAAAAAATAAAAAAAAAAGTAAAAGACTGAAAATTCTACAAGTGCACAAAACTGCATAGCTGTCAAGTTTCAAAAGCACTCTACTGGTCCAAAACTCTTATTCGTGAAAAATTAGGAACTTTCGAGCTGGAATTCTATTAATTGAGCTGAACAAAGATAAAAGGGATCACAAAAAAATGGTTTCTTTATTTTCAACAACAAAAGAGAAAGGGCAATTTTTACTTTCCCACTTTGGCGACTTGGGGGAAAAAAAAAAAAGAAAGAAAAGAAAAACCCATTCTTTTCCCCCTTTTTACAGCATCAAACAGCTTAAATCAAGCAAAATCGTCCCCAAAAATCAATCCAGAATAAACAAAAATAAAATTATCGAATCTATAAACACAGATGCACGAGCTGATTTGTTTCAAAAGAATTACGCAAAAGAATGGGTTGAACTTAAAATCCAAGAAATCAATAAAAATTTTTGACAAAGTAATAAAGAGGAAAAATATGAAAGGTTAAAATTAGCAGATTTATGGGACAGAGGAACAGTAAAAGAACAATTCTTCAACTGGATTGGGCGCGAAACGAGAGAAATGAGGGTTCCGAGAACACGAGGAGAAGAAAAAGGGAATTAAATTGAGGATTGTACCTGAGGATATTGGGGGAGTGAGGGAGGTCTTCCAACTTCTTCAGTCGCCATTGGAGGGAGCTTTTGTGCGAGTGAGCAGTGAGTGAGTGTGTGTGTGTGTGTGTGTGTGTGTGTGTGTGTGTGTGCAATTTTGATTTCAGCAGAGTTGGATCAGCTTTCAAAAAAAAAACAAAAATGAAAAAGAAAAAGAAAGAGAGGGGCACGGTAAAAAATGAATCTTTGGTGAAGGGAACAGTGGAGGATATATCAACACACACACACACACTTACTTTAAAGCAAAAGGAAAAAAGAAAAACAAATATACGGAGGAAAAAGTGGGTGTGAATCTGGGAAGAAATGGACGGTTCAGATTGGAACAAAGGAAAGTTGTTCGACGGTTAGTGTTATTTTAGGCTGGGGTTCACGTGGATTGGTGACGTGGACAAAGCTTCCCATATCGCTCAGCTGTTTCTTCCATTTCTCATTTTAATTTTTTTTGGACATCTTTGAATTATTTGTTTGGTTGGGAATGAAATTCAAATTTTTGGACATAACATTTGCGCACTATAACTAACTACACGTCACGTTTTGATGTTTTTGTTTGTTTTCTAAGAAAATAAAATAAAAAAAAAAACAAAAATTGTGGGTTTGCCACTCTAGCTGGGCTTGCTTCTGTTTTTTACATTTTGAATCAGTTTATTGTGATTTGTTTCTCTTTTCCAACTAATGTACGTATTCCCTAGTATTAAAACAAAAAAACACTTAACCAATAAAAATTAAATATAAATTTTCTTGTATCACTTAACTTGGTTTCCAAGCCATTAACAAAAACTATAGATAACATTTTCTTTTTTTGTTTTGTTCCCAGTCCCACCTCTTTTTACCAATCCCATATAAATTTTTTATGAGAATTTTTTTCCGTTCCTTTTTCTAGCAAAAAAAAAAAAAAAAGGAACAAAATGCAGAATACATACTGTGTCTAGTTTCCTGAGTGGAAAAAAGAAAAGTTTATAAACTTGGGAGAATTAGAAATTAGAGCAAAGCTAATTCATAGACTTGATTTACCATAATAATGTAATCAAGCAAAAACTTGCACCGAAGCACAAGGGATATCTACAGATTGACTTAAAGTAAAGAGCCAACTCCTCCTATTCTGCTTCATCTTCATTATCATTCTCCATTTGTACTTGGTTAACCATGAACCTCCAGTTGTCACCTTCCTCTATTTCCCACTGCTTTTTCAACTCATTAATGGTTCTCGACGCAGCAGCAGCAATTGCTGGATTGCTATCTTCTGCCAGTCTCTGCAGACGGAAACAAATGCTTACTACGTTGTTTATGCTTGCGGGTAAGAGAGAAGATGGAAAGAGAAGGAGAAGAATAGAACACCTGCAAGGCTCCCATGCCTGCATTTCCTAGAGTCCATAATGATGGAGCAGTTGATAATGCATTTGCTAATGCTTTCCTGCACGATAGAATTTCATAAGCTACGAAGTGTAGTTTTCCTGCAGTATTGCATCGGATGTGGGTTTTTTTTTTTTCTTTTTTTTTGGAGTCCAAACTAACTACAAGGTATTTGATCAACATTAGATTCATGTACATTAGGCTCGAAGAAGAGAAGGATTTTTCAAATGCATATGAATACAAAAACTAAGAATGGATTTCAAAGTCTGTTTTAAAACCATCTTTGAGCGACAGGGGATAAAGAGATATAGCTTTAAACAAGAGTTTGAAACCCATGAAGGGAAGTGTAATGGTTACACGATTAGATATCTAAGTCTAATTAAAAAAATTGGAACGAACACAATGCAGAAAAGTCATCTTATATGTCAATATAGCATTACCTGGTATTGACATCAGGGGAACTGGAACATTCTGCTAGTAGCGATACACTGCTTTTACCATCCATTGCTTCAAGATCTATAAGTGTTGCGACCAACAACTCTAACTACACCAAATAAAGATGAGAATTAAGTACATAAGCACAATGAAAATAGTCGTTCCCATAACAAAAGCCATCATTTTAACCCATACCTCCTCAGGATCAGTGTAGTCAATCCCATCAGCTTCTGAAACTGCAGATGCAATGCTCATATAAGCTTCCTGTAAATCCGTGGCGACATGCAATGTTAGATCTTACAGGTGTTGGTAAGCCGTAAACTAACAGATCAATCATTTTAGAAGCTCATATTCGAACCTCAATAGCATCAATTTGATCGGCAGATACTTCTCGTGCAAGGAAGTCAAGAGTTATTCCATTCTTTTCAAGGGTTATTTTGTCTTCTAAGCCAGTTTGATACAAATGACCAGTACTCCTGTTTGAAGGACTGCATACAAAAAACAGAACAGATTCAGATCTTGACTGGAGATAACATCTTTACAAAAGTTTAAGAAAACGAATTCAAAGGTAGGTGGAGGCATATACGATGGAAAACTTACAAGTTGTTCATCTTGCCGACCATTCTGTCATGAATATTTTTGACAAACTGTGAAGCCATTTTTTTATAGATCACGATCAGGTAGAAGAAATGTAAACTTTACTATACGACTTTGTAAAATAGCCTATGGTAATCCTAAAGGAAAAATTGTCTGCAGCCCATAATAATTTACTAATTCTTTCTTAGAACAGCTATACCTCAAGAGCCATAAGTGCATCTTCCATGGCTCGCTGCTTCGCAGCATTGTTGGCACGACGCAAATCAGCCTGAGAAATTTACCCAGAAGGGGGTATTAAAAAAAAAAAAAATGCATTCCATTATTTCATGAACACAGTGATACTGCACAACATTGAATTGGGAAAAGGGAAATGGAAAGAGAATGGAGAACCTCCAAAGCACCATCACTCCAATGTTCATCAGCAGCATTTTTCAGTCTTGATCCAGCCATATTTTTTAAAATCTGAAAGGAAAACAAACAAAGATTTAACAGGAACGAGAGAGGAATAAAAAAGAGAAGTTCAAAAAATCATGCCCGGAGAGATCATTTCAATGAATGATAAAATTCCAAATAAGAATACTTACAGTAGCAACATGATGAAGCCTTTCAGCTCTCCTTTTCACATCATGGTCAATTTTTTCTGTGTCTTCCCTGGCCCGAGCTACCCCCACCAAAGAGAGAGAGAGAGAGAGAGAGAGAGAGAGAGAGAGAGAGTGAGTGATGTCAGCTCCTGACCAATTTGATGAATAACTTAGAGACAGTAGCGTATCAAATATTGTACAGATAATGACTTCCTTCTATAAATCCTTTACGGCTTTACCACCCGAGGCATTTGAAAATTAGCAAGGTATCTTAAGATTTCCATCAAAGGCTTAGTACACCTTTCTTCTGTCAAACTTTAGCAAGAAAAGAACAAAGGACAATAGCTGAGAAAATCATACCATCAAGCTTGAGAAACTCTGTGCCAATAATGGCAACATCTCGGCGTGCCCGAGCATCCAGTCTCATTATCCCTCTGTCAGAATTTGAAACATGTATCAGATAGTTTAAAACCCATGAAAATGTAGCAAATGTTAAAAAGAAAAACTACTGATATCTACTATTTGTATAAAGAAACACTCTTGAAGTTTAGGAAATCATTTTCAGGTCATATAAGCCACGAGTTCAACACATTATATATCATACAATATCTAACTGTCAGAGGAAGCTACATCTATACTGAAAGTTTAACCATAAGCACTGATTATTTTTTACTGAGCCAATATAATGGATTTAAACGTAAACTCAGTTAAGTTCCTCTTGAAAAAACATAATCTTCCACTTCCTACCAGATCAAAGAAGCAGGGTTAGCAAAGCCTAACATCATTTCTCTTGACAACCCTCCTCACCAAGGAAGAAAAGTGTTTCAAGTAACACAAAGGAAACTCTTTGATTAAGATATGTGATATCCATTAAAGACAACCAACATCCACGTGAACCATGTAACAAAAAGACTGAGAAGTGAAAAAAAAAAAAATCAAAACAAAAAAAAAATCAAAACAAAAAAAAAAAAATCAAAACAAGAAGAAGAACACAAGAACATGAATATTGCAGATGTAAGACCCTCAAAGTGTATGAGGCAATAACAGACATTGAATCATTGATTACCTAGAAAGCAATACAAAGTCATTTCTAGCCCTTTCATTCACATATTTTGCGTCATTATAGACAAATTTACAAGCTTCAGCTAATCCCTGATGCGAAGAAATAGTTTTCCCAGGTCTGACAGGATGCTCATCTTCAAATCGTTCTCTGCAAAATCAAAACACAGCTGCCACCCAAGTTAACATAAACAGCAACATTATTTGAAATCATATAACCATCAGTCCATCAAATTTCATGGGAATCCATCCATGAGAAATAGATACTTCTCACTAAACTGCGCAAGGTTGAATCTCAGACAACAGATACACTTTACCAATTAATAAAAAAATAATCAATCACATGAGGGTGTTTAGCATGGTAATTTTGAAAGTGTCATGAGTTCTTACATTTTCCTAATCAGAGTCTGAGAAATTTCTTAAGATTCTACGGGAAAGAGAATCACACAACAGAGTTTACATTAGCTGAATAGCTCTGATACCCAAATACATCTATATGCTCAATAAAAGTGACCACTAAGGCCTCATTTATAAGTGAGAGAATATACCTATGAGTATCAGAATGATCATCCAATTGTCTGACACACTCTCTTGTTTCAGAGTCATGTGTTTTTGTTGAATGGCATGACGACGACGACCCATCGGAGGACGGAATGAAATTGAGTATTTTTACACGCAAATGTCGGAACCTATTGTTAGAGAATTTACGATTAAAGCCAGAGAGAAGTCTCTTGTTTTGTTTTCCAAGATCAGCTTGACTGATAGCTAAAAGCTTGGGGTGCTGGGGTGATTTGACAGAAGAATAAGAAAAGCCACTATTAGCCATACGGTTTTAGTCTGCACTGCAATGACAAGTCCCCTCCAAACTTGCTTCCAACAGGAGCCAATATCAAGAATCAATGTAAATACTGTGCAAGTAACATCTCCTGAAAACCTAGAAAATGAAAAGATAGAATTAAGACTCATATTAGTATAACTTCAAATGATAAAAGCGAGAAAAATAAACATCTAAACAAATACTGTATTGTACTCTTACAACATCTTCAGAGAAATGGATAACTTTTCACGAAATTATGGGTACAGTTTGCAGGGAAACTCTTCTATATATGCTAAGAATTAAGGTATAGCTTTAGAAATGACTGAAACTTTGTAAGCAGTCCATTCAACTGGGGCTGATGTAATAAAGCGGGCTCAAATAGCTCCCAGAATTCGACTATCCAACCATACAATCAAGTTTAAAATTCAATTTTATCCAGTTGCACGCTAACAATTACAAAAAGTAAAGTAACACTTACACCGACGAACTAGAAAAGTTAATCAAGCTATTAAAATAAGCTTTGGTTTTCTACACAAATGGAGTATAATTCAGTTCAAAAGGGATTAACAACGAAGAAACAGATAGATCATTGAACGAAACTAATTGTAAAACAAATTACAGTGAGCTACAAGTCATGCCACCTGAATGCTAGCCAAGATTCTCTGTTTTACTTTGCAAGTCCAACTTCGTCCATACATTTTAATCAATCATCAATTTTTTAGAAATTTAAATGAAAAGTCAGAATCAGTCTTCTCCCCAAGCTGGTTTAGCTAGATTATCTCGATAAGAAGTGTCAAAGAACTTTCCAGTTATAGCAACAAGATAAGGCAGAAAATCAGCTCAGTAACGAGTCATAATCTTTGTAATTCTCCGGCTTAGTCAAACATAGCAAGCGAAAAAATTCAGCAATTATTTCTCATTGTTTAAGCAATAACCTTAAATATTACTGAAAATGCATTAAAAACTGCTAGTGGGAAAGCCTGAGGCTAATTAATCCATATTGAAGTAAGTCACCAGACAACAATATAAACTAAAAGGAGGGAATTATACGGGCATGATCACTTGAAAGCAGTCATCTTATAGCTCCAAGAAGATACAAATCCAAAGAAAAAACACCAAAACCCAGAACAAATTATGTTGATAAATCATGCGCTTAATGAATTGGCAACGATAAGACATCAGGAAAACTGTAAGGTGACTCAAGAATTGGGTTTGATAGAAACTCACCAGAGAGACCTCTTAGATTAAAGAAAACACAGCAGCGGTGCCAGAGTTGGAGGAGTGATATATAGTACTATGTACAATAGTGGAACTGTAATTTCTTTCATAAAAATTTGTCTGAGAATTTAAGGAATTGATGGAATGAAAGGTATTGAGTATGGGCTATGGAGAGGGAATGAAACGATTTTGAGGAATTCCAGCCACAAAAGTAGCATGTGGCCCCTCATTTGCCAACACTAGTGTCCAAACTCCCAAACTAGAAAGTGAACTAAAATCATAAATACCATCCTTGTCGACCAGTTTTATAAGAATGGTCCCTTTTTCCAGGATCAATAATCGTTGCATTTTTATCAACACCCATCATCATAGAGTGGATAAGCAATCCAAATCACAAAAGACCCGCAAATTCAACTCAAACAAAAGTGCTGCAGAAACCTCTTGGATTAGTGTTCAACTGTAGCATGTCAATTTTAATTCAGGCAACATAAAAGAGGGAGTAAAAATGAGAGGAATAATCAACGTTCTGGTAAAGTAGGAGCTTGAAAATTAAACTCCATATTTTGATTCTGTATGTATCGCCAGATGATTCATACCAAATCGTACTGCATTTTGTCTATTCTATTCAAAGAATACGGAAAGGAACAAAGAAAAAGAAAACATAATAATAATAGGAAAAATCGTTATCGAACTGGGCCAAGATGTTTCGGCCTTTTATCTTAGAAACATGTAAGCCCATCTTTGGTGTTGGATTTAATTATTTATGTCATGCCTCTGGACTTATTTGTAAGGTTATAAACTATAGGGATTCGAAAGTCATTTTTGAAAATGTGTGGACTATGTATAGTCCCTGGGTCTGAAAAATTAATTATCGAAAATTTTAACGCCAAATTGGATTTTTCCAGTTTATCCCTTCTCCTCCGATTTTCCCTCACCCGAAATTCGTCCGGCCTCCTAATTTCTCCGATTCTCTTTTCCGGCCACCCCAAGGCCCCCGAGTCGTGATATTATGGAGCAATAATCTTCTAATCTTAGCGTGGTAAGTTTGTTTGTAACGGAGTCCACAAAATTCAAAAATAGTAAGAAGGGAAAAGAATTTGCTAAAAAGGAAAATAGGGATTTGTCAGATATATTGATATTATCCATTCCATATTCCTTTTCTTGTATTCCTACGATATCATTTCTCGATCGCAAACCAAATTTATAGTATTTACGTTCATATCCTACCATAAAAGAAAGGGCCAAAAATCTCTCCAGCATAAATAGTCAGGATTAAATTGATGTGATGCAAATATTTTAGTCTTCTTTGTTCTCAAGTCCTAGGAAATGTCCTCGTTATGACTTGTAGATTGTTGTAACCATGGTAATTGGCACCTTTGTCTAATTTGATTGCAATGATTTTTTTTTTTTTTCTTTTCCCCCCCTATAGAAATAAATAATACAGTAGTTCATGGCAACAAGTGCCATATACTGGTAATAACTCATCCCAATTCGTAACTGCAAGAAAAATGTACATACATAGGCTGACGAAAAATGCTCAATTCTGCATTACCAATTTAAGACGTACTAATAATAATTGCCGTCACAAAACCAATCAACGAAATCAATTTGGGAAAAAAAAAAAAAAAAAAAGAAAAAGAAACAAACAGCTCCATATAATTCAGAGAATAACAATTAAGGAATGAGATTGGGTGCTGAATTAATAGAGCTCGGAATCAAATGATCAAGGGCACTTGGGACGTCCTTCCTTAGTCTTCCAGTTGTTGTAGCAGGGACAAGTTTGTTTGTTGCCATAAGTACCAGGAGGCACACACAAACAAGTTGCACAGCACTTTAAGCAGAAGAACATGCACGGCTTCCGGTGTGATGTCGCCGAGCATCGATATCCACATCTTGGCTGGCAATCTACCATTTTGATTCGATTCGTGTCCAGATTTTCCATTTGCAAAACAGAAGAACAAAAGAAACATAAGACAATTGTCCGAGTGTTTTAAAAAGTATACGTATTGGCCTAAGCATACCTTTTGGACGAAGTCGGTTGTAAGCCTAAGTACCAAGAAAAAATTAAAATCATTAGACACGTGATCCGTGGAACTCAGTACTACTACTAAGCAAATCAAATCGAGATGTATTAAAGGGTTCTTTTTGTTCATTACCTCGGCCTCGTTGGGCAATGTAACTAATACCACAAGTAATGAGAGAATCAAGAAGACGGTGACATTGTACGGACGAGCCATAATCTTCTGATCCTCAGGGTAGTAAGTTAGTTGTTTGTTACTGAGTGTCTGAGCACCAGAGTTTGTGTTTTTGTAAGAGGGAGAAGAAAGAATGTGGAGATGAAGGAAGGTGAGAGATCCTAGGCTTACTTATTTATACACAAAGATTTGGTGTCAGTAAGTATAGTCTGGGCCAAAATGATTCCAGATTTTTGAGGCGTGAATATTGGCCAAATTTTCTAATAATAATTAAAGAAATTCCGATTTGGTTCAAGCAAAATGATGAAAAGAAATAGCGGTGAAGGCGCCGTGTCTAATGTGGTTACTTGTAGTAGTTATTACCAAATTTGTCAAACTTTTAACGTGGGGGGGGTTAGTTGCTGGGTCGCTTTTTGGTTTCCTGGTTGGATCCATAATTCATTGCAGAAATTGTATGATGTTGATATAAATTGAGCTTTGTAAGGAATAATTATGTCCTTTATTGGGGGAAAAAATAAAATAAAATAAATGTACTACTTTTATTATATTTATTTATTATTATACGAAAATCACAATATTACTTACAAAAGTTCACGAAACGTGTCCGTAGTAACCAAAACACATCAAAAATTACAAGTAAATTACATTGACAATGCATCCATACTTTGATTCTTCCTTTTTGAATTGACGATGGAAGTTAATTATGTGTCAACGTAAACTGATTCGTCTTCGATTATTACTAATACATATTTGTCATGTTCTGTAGTTTTTAAAATATATAATGCAATTGGTTGGTAGTACACTAGTACTGGTAGTATACTCATATATTTCTTTGTTATTCTGAATTTCTAACCGCAAAAGCAATCTCTTTTCTGCTTTCTAAAAATTCATTTAAAAGGGGTGCACATCTAGAAAATTTTGTCTTATTTTTTAAAAATATTTTCCCTTTTTACTTTACTTTCAAAATATAAATAAGGGTCTAACCGTGAAAGAATTGACCAAAATAGAAGTTAAGGTTACAGAGTGAAAGAAAAAAAAAATTAAAAAAATCAACTACTACCAATTAGAGACAAAAATACACTGTTCGAAATGCCAGATGGGATTAGACATTCAAAGGGGAGTCATTTGGCCCGTTTAACCATTGCTCCAACAGCCAGGCCCAGCTCCCCGGCAATTTCGTCATGGTATGCAAAACCCCTAACTCTAATAACCACAAAAAAATATTAAGAAACACTATAAATTTCTCAATTCAGAAGCAAAAAAAGGTATGAGAAGAAAAGTTCAAGAACTATTTAAAACAACAGATTCTGTAATCCTTTTAGTTTCTTCTGTACCTATTGTTCCCAAACACGAAAAAGTTCTTGATTGAAGGATTCTAAAAACGATCTTCATCGTCTCTTACCCATTTTCTTTTTATGGGCATTCTAACTTTCTCTATGCCGCCGCATGTATTCCAGACATGTAAAATCATTCACTATAATATCCCCACTATTCCTCTCTAAGAGGACAGATACTGGGACAAGTTGAGGTCAACCAACATTTTCTTCATATCCTCATTTGATATGAAAGCTGTGCCAACAGCCACTGCAGCAACAGTCAGGAAGAGAAAAGCCTTGATGCAGCCATTGCCTCCTGATACCCGACCAAGAAGTGTCTTGCAGTGCTTCTGTGCCTCCTTCAAAGTTGATCGACGAGTAGGATTATCTGCACTAGCCAACGCTTTCTCATTCTGCAAATCCAAGGCAGAGTTTAGTCAGGCAAAGCATGACAAAGCCGCAGATAAGATAGCCAACCCCAAACCTTCAAACTCGAAGAAGTAACAAAGGGCCATAAACAGTAAAACCCCAAGGGACACAATAATACAGGAATAACTGAGTAGACAAGGAAATAATAACTGGAAAATTTACCAACCCCCATCCACATACGCACTTCAAATATTCACCACCCAATCAAAATATGGAGCAACAAAGGCCAAATGAACTAAGACGTAACCAAATATAGTTCACAAAACTTGCATGTTTTTAATACAAACGTATCCTATGCCATCTTGTGGTATACTGAACACCTTATAGAACAATATACTAGACATTTTCCAGCAATGAATCAATAGAGAACCTCACTACTTTAGATGATGCTAATGAGTACGCTTACCTTCACAATAAAACTCTTCAAACTTGTCTTCAAAGGTTCAAGAGTAGAATGATTCGCAGACTGCACCTTCCACTCATCAGACAGCTTCTTCAGAATTATGACATTGGCTTCAAGATTGTCTAGATAAATATAATCCTGATCCACGTATAAATCACATAAATAAGCTCGCTAAAAAATATCATTATTTTCCTGAATTAAACGTGTAAAAAAGAATTGAAAATGTAACTAGATTTCTGTGCTTACCCATTGCTTGTAAGAATCAGGGTTCACAGTTAAACACCAAATGAACAAGTCACTAGCTTCCTTTGCTAAATCCGGAATACCTGGAAAAGATCCAACAATCAAAACCATGATCTCGGCTCTGTAATGACAGACTATGCTAAGGACAAAAAAGGAAGGGCTCGAGATTAAAAAAAAAAGTTTCTAAACTAACCTTCTCCAGCAGCTTTAATGGCAAAATGCATTATCTGCTGGCTAATTTGCTTTGCTGCTTTACTACCAGGAGATATAAATAAAGCTACCTCTTTCAAGACTGGATATATGGCTTCAAACCTCTCAGTTACCTAATCAAAAAGGACAAAAGAAAAGTCTAAGGGGCTCAGAACCAACCAGCAAAGGCACAGGATACTATCACAAGTAACAAATAATGCTTCCTTCGAAGAACTCACCTTTCCTCGAGATGTAGTTGCAGGGAAGGTGGCTCTCATCAGATCTTCAAGAGATGATCCGGGAACAACACGCTCGCCCTTTCTGGCAGCACCATTGACTAGTATTGTACGAGCCTTTGGAAATGATATAATTCTGCAGACATAAATATCAAACTTTTATTTCAAGATCTTTTAGCTGTAAAGAAAGATATCAGTGAACAGATGAATAGGGTCATGGCAAAAAGGGAATCTCGAGTATCTACCTCTCAACCACCTGTAAAATTAGGTCTCTGGATTGCGGACTGGAACCTGATTTGCTAGTTAGCAACGGGAAAAGGAGGCGTACCCACACGAATAGCCCAACAGCCAAATCCCCTTGCAAAGCCTACATAGTTAATTCAAAATTTTTAACAGGGAAAGCATGCATATGAAAAGCTTCAATGCAGTCAAGAACTGATTTTAATATGTTCCACAAGAAAATACCTGGGTAACTGCCCAGACCAGAACCGGAAGCTTGTCTTGTCCCTGGTACTTCGGATTCTCTTTCAGATCTGGCCAAACACTGATCAAGACATCAGGTTTACGTCGCAGTATCATTGCTAAAACCAAAAAGATGGCAACCTGCACCAAAATTATTACAGGGACAAACCCGATAATGTTAACTACGGATGAGGCGACAACAGTATAAAGAGTAAGCAGAGAGAGAAAAGGACAAGTAACATTTCACAATTAATGAACCAGTCACAAATCAATGAAGCAGCAGTCAACTTCAGGAAATTATATATAAGAGGAAGGAAATTATGTGCTGACATATATAGATTCCGGTGGACATCAGAGCAACAGAGGCCAAGTAATCCCCTATTTGAAGGAATTAGTAATTGATCGTTTGAAAAGAACAGCCGAGCACGGAAGACTAGCCAAAATATCCAGATGTAGCAAACACGTGAAAATTAATACCATTCCCCAGGAAAACAAATCTTTTTGTGTGGTTTTTTGGAATTGACTAAGCAAGGGCTTATCAAACACATGATCTGACAGTAATTATGCAACTCTTAACAGCCAACAAATTGATAGCAAATTTGAAACTGCACGATCTGTACCCAGTAAGGAAACAGAATGTATATGGTTACCTGAGATTTTGAAGATGCCTGCTGAACAACTTTTTTAGCACCCTTTGCGCCACCTAGATGCAGTGCAAGATCGGAAAGGATGCTATCTAGACCCCACAAGACAAAAGGGCCAAGTGCATCAATAGATCGCTGGTTAAGCCAGTCTGTGGATGTCTTGTAAACACCTTCAGAAACATTGACAACAGGTATCTACACCAAAAAAAAAAAAACCTCCAAAAGTCAGCACCGGATTGAGCATCATACTTTCAGTTTCAAAAACACACAATGGCAATACTGTTGTTGATGTAATACCAAATACTATGACCACTTATAACTGACAAGAAATAACATTTAGAAGAAACACTACATGGCAACAATTAAAACAACAACCTAGGCAATCAAATAAAGAGCAAAGAGAGGTTGAGTAACGTGAATTACATGATCAACCCAGCTTTTAACTATTAGAAGCAGGCTTAAACTACATCAATATACTGTCTAAAAACCACCTACCGGATTATGATGAAACCCACTCTAAACTTTTCAATGCTTTTCAAATCTATGTGCAAGAAGATCTAAACAGAAAAGAACAAACGCCACAAAAATTCTTCAACTGAACAGTCATACTTCACACATTTAACCCCCAAAAACAAAATAGAGATTCCAAATTTACGTACTAACTAAAAGATTCATACAAAAGGTATATAGCCAGTTTTCTGGAGAAATTCCCATCACCGTACACTCTTTCCATAAAAGGAGAAAAAGGTAAGAACTTCTTTTCCAGATAAATCACCAGCATTTCACAGAGACTCCCTTTTCAAACATAAAAGGTCCTAACTTTCCATCTTCCCTCAGACAAAGCTGTGGCAATCACAAATCAATTAAAAACTCAAGCTTTCTCATTTAAGTTTACTGAATTGGATCCCTGAAAAACTTACATCAACCATCTTTGCAACTGAAGATTCCTTCAGCAACTTCATCCACGGAAACTGTGACCCGCTCACTTTGGAAAATGCACGCCCGAAGTAATCCGCAAATCTCATCAACTGTATATCCTGCTGCGTCTCATACGAAACCTTACCCACACAAAAAAAAAAAAAAACAAAGAATTACAGGTCAGCTATTTACCATTTTATTTCCATACAACAAAGAAATCGACGCCATGAATTTAATCTAAAACTAGAGAAGCCATCAGATCAGATTCAAAAACTACGAAGCTGCATTCTGCCCTATAAATTTTAAATTATCCAACACTTACGGAGATTTCAGCGAGAAAAGCAGCGAGATCAGAGGAATCGATCTTCGAAGCAGCCTCAGGAACCGAAATCTTTGGCTTCTTTGGTTTCTTAGGCTTAATCTTCTTCTCCTCGGTTGGGGCGACGCCATTCTCAGCCACGGCTGCTCCGTCAACGTCGCTGCCGTCATCGTCGCCGTCGTCGACGGCCACGGCCGAGAAATCTCCGGTCGAAATCGCGGCCGCTCGCTGGCTCTCAACCCACTTTCGGTGTCGCTCATCCGAGTTCTGCTCGATCAACCGGAAAACATCATTCCGGCGATCGGAAGAGACGCCTTCCCCAGCCGCCGCGGATGCAGAGCGAGCGTTCTTATTCTGCTGCGGCTGTTTTTTGTTCTTCTTATGATACGTCACCGTTTTCCATCCGTGATCCTCATTATTGGTGTTGCTCTTCGGGATGTCAACGGCGCCGGAATTCTCATCCATCCTTCTTTTTTTTTTTAACAAAATGTGGATTTGGAAAAAGAAAAGTATAATTAAACAACAACAAAATAAGAACCGAAATCAATACGCCTCGGAGTGCCTCCTATAAATTACCCCCTTTTTTGCACAAATAAATGAGGAATATATATAAAAATTATTTTTTCTTTTTTCCGGTTCACTGTGGGTTTTGGTCTTTCTCTGTTGTTGAAGATTCCGAAGACGAGTAGGGTGGGGGAAACGCTTTATAAAATGAGGAGTAATCGGGTTCGGGTTTGGCCCAAGCTCAGTGAAAGTTGTCCACGTGGTTTTTCTTGATGAAAATTACTGAAGCTGTGCTTTTGGTGTTTATCCGGTGGTGACCTTCACTTGACTGTGAAATTACTTGATTACCATTTTCTGTTTCACAATTCATTTTTGGAAATAAGTTGGTGTGGATTTCTCGTCTTCTCTCCACTAAAAGCAGCACAACTTCTTTTTTTTTTTGTGATCCTTTAAATCCAAGGTTGGTAAAAGTACCAACGAAATTTTTTTACTTTTGGTACCAAATATATATATATATATATATATATATATATATATATATACACTGTTAAATGTTGGTGATCCTTACACTCCATAATGGCAATTGTAGTTGTGAAATATTCTTGCCGAAACTCCGATGTTTGTAATTTGACATAATGAATTATAACATTTTTTGAATTCGTGAAGATACTTCTATATGTAATTTTATTGAAATTCCAATCTCATTTCTGATTAAAAAAAAAATTCCACAAAATTTGTGGGTAAGTACTAAACTCGTGTATAACTTCACAAATATATTTTGATGTTTAAGCTAATGGGAGCTTGAATCGAGTACTATTGCATAGTTGTCACGCCATTATCTCAAATCCATATCATATCTGATGATTAGTGAAGAACAACGATCCAATTTTCGTCGTGCTCTCAATTGTAAGCTTAGTAGGTATTGCTAATAAGTTTTTTTTGTTTAATTTGAACAAGAAGTAATACTAATAATTGAATAATTGTCTTTTCATTCGATGTTCTTGACACCACTATTTCGAGTGTTACTGTGTAGTGTGTAAGATGGTATAGCTATTCAAATATTCTGTAATGCTATCGATGTTAAAACTTAAAAACTCTGAGTACGAGTCACCGAGTTGTCACACACTTATGCAAATATCTCAGGGACTTGGAAGGGAAAACAGAAAAGAAGAAGGTATAACTAATCAAATTATTGTTGCATAATCTATATTAAAAAAATAGTTTAAATTGAATGTTTAAATTTATACTAAAATTGGTTAGATTGGTTTCAGTACAAATCTAAAAATTTAATATGGATAGTGAATAATAAATATTTTAAAAATTCATGGAAAGAGCATATCGGTCTATCTTCCAACAAGTACAAATTTAAAACTTTAATATGAATAGTGAATAATAAACATCTTAAACATTCATAGAAAGAGTATATCGGTCTATTCTTCAACAAGTACAAATTTAAAAATTTAATATGGATAGTGTATAATAAACATCTTAAAAATAAATGAAAAGAGCATATTGGTCTACCCTCCAACTTCAGGTAAATAAAATCCTCCATCTAGAAGGAGTGAATTAAATAAAATAAATCTTCTTTTTTGTTCAGATATGTCAACCCGATTCATTGGGTAACCAATTTTGTTTTGACTAAGGAGTACTTATGTTTTCTAATAAACTCCCGTTAAATAAAACGGACAATAAAATGAGGATAGAAAGAAGTCAACAGTTCAACTTTCAACCAATTCTTTTATTTTGGTAGTTACCCAAAAAAAAAAAAAAACGAAAGACACAAAGAAAAAATGAAAAGAAACTTAATGTATGCTACAAATAAAGGCCATTATTGTTATTTTCAGGGGCAATGAACATTGAAAATTTCCATTACTGGCTTTGTATCTAAGGTGTAAAAAAAATCCCCGTAATATCAAAATAAATTAATTGAAGTTTTTTTCATAGGTATAATAAAAAAATCTAACGCTTGTGAACTAGATGAAAAATATCTAATATAAAATGTTCCCCGATTGTTATTAACCCCTGTATGCTCTTCATGATGAACTTCAGAACTCGAAATGAGGCACAATTGCGGTAATGTCACTTTTTCCGATTATCATATATTCCCTCTCTCCCATAATTATTATCCAGTTTGAATTTTCATTCCTAGTTCAAATTGTACTAAAAGTGAAATTTCAAACTGGACAATAATTTTGGGACAGAGAGAGTACTTTTTTTTTTGTTTCAATGGAATAATTTTTTTATTGTTTTTGTTAAGCAAAATAAAAATATTTTTTTTGAGACAGAAGGAATATTAAATCTTGAATATTATAATTAAGAAATGCGATTAAGATGTATTGGTTTCAGTTAAAGAGAAATCTTGGATTAAAGTTGAACGCGCGCGTAAATACTCAGCCAAAAAAGTTCATCTTCAATTGGACTCTAATTTTAACGACTTGTTTATAATTATAAGGCTTGAAAAAAAAAAAACAATAATAAGTGTGAAATGAAATTCATAAAATATTGGTCGTTTAGTTTGGTGTAATGCATCTCCACATTATCTGCATTTTTAAACTTAGAACAATTACAATTTACAGGTAGCAGACTGATGAATTATATTCATTTATTCAAAATGAATCGTTACTGGTGCTTTGAATTGCCCCCCTTTTTCCTTCTAAATTAATATCATGCTTTTAACTTTTAAATAATGTATTTATTACTCTCTCCATTCCAAAATAAGTATCGTTTTAACAAAATAGAAAAATTCCAAAATAAGTGTCGTTTTCAAATTCCAATGCATTTTTTGTCAAAAATTTCTAAACATACCCTCAAAATAAATAATATTATTGGTGAGCATTATTTTAATGGGATAGATTGAGGATATTCTAGTAATTTAATAACCCTATTTAAGTGTTTCTTAAATTATATGTAAACTCGAGAATGACGCTTATTTTGGAGCGGACGAGGAAGTAGTACTAGATAACAAAATGATGTAAATAATTGGGCCACTTGGGTTGTTGTGACCAAATCTTAGAGAAATCGACCATTGATTTACTGTGTGTGTATGTGTGTGTGTTTTTATTTTCTTGCTTCAAATAATAAATCATTAGATGCTAGTACAATAATCCATATCCACGCTACTCCAATTTAATCAAACTTTTCCATAGATGCGAAACATAATCCCAAATTTCTAGAACAAATAAAAAGGACAGAAGGTATCATATTCGTATATGTTTTGCTTCTCCAAATTTGGGTCATCTTCTTGGCTGTGACTTTCTCTTACTCTTCAATTATTCTCTCCGTTCAGAAATTATTTTTTAATTTTTATTTTTATTTTTAATACAAATTAAATTAAAAATGAAAATTTAATCTGAATAATATTTTTGAGATACACGACATACTACATACGGATACGGGGCAACCACACATCTTTTGCAGTAAACATTTATTAAAATGAATTCTTCTTCTTCTTATTTATTAGTATTTGGGAAGAGATAATTAAAATGCAAAATTGCTATAAATAACTCGTGACTTTTTGTACTCCCGAATACCCTCACTACTCAACCCAAGTTAAGGTTTGTAACCAGTAAAGAACGTAATCAGAGATATAAAACACAGCTACACCATTATTGTTGTAAAAAGGAGGACCATTTGAACAATTCAAAATTAATAAATAATGTCAAACAAATGGTTAATAAAATAACCCCAATTTGCCCACCGCTTTGTTACACCACGTGAATTAATTGGTTAATTATACCGTCTTAGGCATTGACCATCTGAGTGTTGTATTTGGAAGTTAGCAACTTGACAGCCTACTTCCCCTCTTCTTCTTCCTTTCTTACTCCTTTATTTATTTATTAATTTATTTTTTTCCCAAAACCATCTCACAATTTTATCCGTTCCGAAAGAAAACAATATTAAATGGTTTAAGCAAACGTAATTATGGGTTTGGAAGAAATGATATGATCCTCCTCTTTCTTTCTTTTTTCTTCTTGTGTGTGTGTGTGTGTTTTGGTGGGGGAGGGATATTTTTATGACAAAAGAGTTGCAAACTTTTTGTGCGTTACAAAAGGGGGATAGTATTTGGGTTTTTAGTGCTAGCAAAAGAGGGGAAAAAACCACGTAAAAAAAAGTGTTGAGAATATTGCCATCACAATTCACAATAGAAACTAATCTAAATGCAACCATTTTCTACAACCGCACCGGAGTTTTTTATGCGCCATTTACTGTATCCACCAAGAGCCAAGTCAGCCAACCAAATTACATGACATAATAGAATCATTAATGACAACGACACAACCAGAAAAATTATGCAATGGAAAATGACAAAATATACATATGAATACACTATTACTACTACTTCCTAATTATTTGTACTAGTAAATACTACATTACTACGTATTAGACATTAGACAAGACGTATGGCCGAATGTGAGGGGGAAAAGAAAAACGCATGAAAATTACTACAGCTCACCTCACTGCCTAAATTAACAATACTTTTCTTGTTTTCCTCTATTGAATATACGTAACTTTTTGTTCTTTTTTTCTTTTTTGGTTAAACGACCGCAGCCTAGAGACTGAGTAAACATGTAATTCGCAATTGAATAGAGTTCTTTACATCCGCTTCTAACAGCAAAACTATACCATCCGGGGGAAATATCAAAAAAATATACTCCTCTTTCGGATTGAGCAGCTCAATCACTGTTAGGGAATCGGATTCTACTACCAGTTCGGATTGAGTCACTTTTTGTTTTTGGGTCCAAAGATTGTCGTTCGATTCATCTTTGGAACAAATATACTTGAATATTCCGAATAAATCTGTTAGTCGAAAAAGGGAACAAATCGGCGGTTGACGCATCGTAATAAAATCAGACAGTTCTGCCTTCTCTAATTTTTTATTTTTTATTTTTTATGATATGGAATTTCATCTACATTGTAGTACAATGGTATCATTAGTTCAATTATTGATTGACCTCAATAGAAAGCTGTCGATGTTTGACTAAATTTGATATAGTCCTCCTCCTCCACTCCACTTCCCATTTTTTCAAAGACCAAAAAAGGATAACGGTTTCCAAATCCCCAAGTCAAAAACGTGTGCTAGTATCTTCAACTTTCCAGTTATCGGATTCTTGTAATCTGGACCCTTCAAATTGGGCAAACACTAATTTCATGGCTACCAAACTAAAGTTACCAGTTTATTCATTGTAGTTTTTTGAAACTGGACAAATAATTTTTGCTGAAATTGCGACTAGGGTTGTTTGTTTGATAACTCCATTTAGAACAAGCTTGAAGCTTTTGGCTGGTGAGTGGTCCCAAGGCTTACGGAACCACCACCACCTTGCGCGGTTGCATACATCTGTGTAACCAACCCATAAAAAGAAAAAATCAATTCCTTTTAACAAACAGTATTTATGTATCTGTGGTGTTTGTTCAATTTATTGCAATTGAGATCTGGAACAAAAGGGAGAAATAAGAATATCGATGGCTGTGGAAGACAATCACACGAAAAGAAAATCATCAATCCTATTATTCTTTATTACTAATATTATATTTTTTTTAATATTAAAAAAATGCAAATGCATAGCACGAGGCTGCTACTTGACAAAACTTGTGTGAGTTGGATGGATTAATTTCGATGGCAATATTGGCTAAATCCTCAATGAATGTGGCATAAATATAAAATAAATTAGTACATTGATCATGAACAACGTAATAATGTTATATAGTATTAATAATTCTATGAATTCCATATACTAGTAGTACTAGAACTAGTATATTAGTAATTCTCAAAGATCGTAGTCAAACTAGCACTACATTTTGTGCATTATTTTTGTTGGCGTTACAGGCAGCTGAAATCCAGCAACGCAACGCACAACTACCGCAACATTTTTCTTTTTCCACAATCCAATCCCCTCTGGGTCAGAGTTGGAGGCTGAAGCCTGAAAGGGGTATGTGTCAATTTCATTTGGGAGATTTCACATGCATAGACCACTGAGGAAACAACACTTTCTTTTAATTTCACAAATTCCACTAAATATCCTTTTGCAATTCTCTTCGACAACTCATCTCATCAAATAAACCGGGTAAGTATCATTAAATTCATCAAAAGCCTGGGATAAGTATCATTATTATGAACCCGTGCAATCCAATGGACAACAGTATACTACTGACAACTCATTCATCTCGTCTCTGAGTAAGAGACTGTTCAAAACCCAACCTCACCCTGCGAGCCAAAACATCCAATTCGGCCATCATTTGCTTTCTCCAAAGTCCATCAAAGTCCAATCTCTTCTTCTCTTTAACATTCATCTTCAACCCTTCACTCAAGATTCCCAATTTCACCTCCTCCAATGACTTCTCGAACACATTGATCACAGCGTTAGCGGTTGCCAACTCGCCATCCTTGCCAGTTGGCCATTGCCATTATCTCTTCCCTTTCAAACTCCACATTCACCTCACTCAATTTCGAAATCTCATCCAAACTCACGATCATCCTCCCCTTTTTCTTTATTTTCCTAATCAAACTCAAAATTTCTAACCACATTGTGACCAGGCTCCGTTTTCAACACGGCCAAGAAGGTAACTTCAACTCCTGCAAAATCCGCTCCTTTAGCTTTACCGTTACCACCTACTCCGATGAAATACGGGTACCAGCATAATACGGGTGCCAGAGCTGCTTAGAAATATCATAAAGAGCTCGATCATGGGGTGACAAGAGCCAGACGCCCAAGCCATTAGACAAACGCGTATAGAAACTGCTGAGGTCGCGAGGGAAGGAGAGGGTCTGAGACCCAGAATCCAAAAGGTCCTGTAGGAACCGGATCTCTTCTTGTTGGGTCCATATCCGATAGAACTTAAACGGTGGAGGTTTGAAGCTGGATCAGAGCTCTGGGTCACAAAAGTGGGGGTAAGCGGATTAGGGTCTGGATTGCGAAGTGATAAGGGGGATGGGGAGATTAGGGATCGGATCCGTGGATCTACTGTCTACGTTTAATGGGGAGCTTAGCCTGGCCAACTACGGACTCTGTCGGGGCTTTAGGTTTGGGGTGGAGTCCATGCCTCCATGGCATAGGTTTAGCCATTAAGGCTCTATTCCCACTGGCAGTGGGGACCTTGTTGCAATGTGTTACTGTGTGTGTGTATGTGGGTTCAGGACCGATGAAGTGGGTGAATCATTGCGGTAAACTGTTCATTTTGGTTTAATCGTGTTTTGTAGTTTTAGCATGTTAATGGAGATTCTTCCATTACACTTTGATTTTTTTAAAAGAAAATTATGGTCATTTGGCTAATTATGGTATTTTCGAATCGGTTTTTAGTGTGTATTTTTAATTTTTTTTTCTTATTGGAATTATAAAAATGTATTGAAAATATAAAAATAAGTTAGGATGAGACATTTATTAATAATAGAATTAATTTTAAATACCATAAAAAAAAAAACAGAGCTTTACAGTATATTTGATGACGCTACTTAATGTTTAAAATTATTTAATTTCATTACAGTATATTTGATAACAAAAAATGAACTTCTTAAAAAATTAAATAGCGTTAAAACTGCAGTACAAAATATAAGTACTAATTTTTATTATTTTTTTAATCAACCATGGCCTAATTTTTTTTTTTTTTTGGTTATCCTCCCTTCACTTTTCAACAATTATTTTTATTACAATTTAAATAAAAAATTACAACAATAAGCATAGAGCTACAAAATCTATGATTTTTGAACGATATACATATATAAATCATATTAGTACAAAAATGATTTTTGCATACGTAGCACGAAATTATAAATTCAATCAAAATGTATAGTAAAAAATTTAATTATTAAAATTCTTAATTAATATTTTATAATTTTATTACGTAATTAAGAATAAAAAATTCCCTACTAATACATGACAATAAATGATAAATCCATTCATTTTTAATCTGCAACTCCTCTATTAATAATTTTTAGTCGGAGATAAAAAAAATATTAATTACGAGGCCCAACGTGACTCCAAATATGGGCAGTCGAAGCGGATTTTTCGATGGGCTAGTACACAATTGGAGATTTTTCTGGCCCAAATTGTTTGTGTAATGCTTTCTGATTGGGTTCTTCTTTCCCGGTTTCAGTTTTCCTAGCAGAGAGAAACACAGTTCCATCCATCCCTCCGTTGCCATTCGGCTGAAAGTCTGAAACTGCCAACGCCACTGTCAAAGTTTCTCCGCTTCCGATTCCTAAAAAGTAAGTTCAATGGCATATCTCTTTCTTATGTTTCCATATTGAAAGCTTGTCGATTCTCGGTTTACTTTTATTTTAATGTTTATCCAGGATAGAATTGTTATGTTTATCTCTGTATATTCAGTATAAATAGTTGGATTCATAAGGAAAATAATCGTGAAATTACAAACGATAGTGTTCTTTGCCGAATTTATTTATCTTTCATTTAGCATCAGTATTGAGGAACTGTATTTTCATGATTATGATATGTTATCCGGTGGCGCTGTGTATAATTGAAGAAGTAGGCGGAAGTGATGGCAGGCCAAATTCACGGGTTATGGGTACATTTGCCGTTGTTGGTTAGAGCCAATTCTAAGGATTCTGTAGAATATATTCTCCAAGCCCTTTGGCGCACCCGCAAAACAGGTCTTGACGCTGCTGACCGCCAAATCTTCCGCCAGATGCTCCAGCTTGAGAATGATTCTGAACTCGACCCGCTTTTGGTGTGCCTCCGGATTATAATTCGGAGATGTGTTTATGAGGGCTTCGACAAAGAGGACATTCACAAGTTGTTTCCTTCTGAGGTCCTGCCTGAACTGCAGAGATTATTGACCCTTCTTTTGCAAAAGTTTCATAAAGAGTGGCAAGAAGACGTGCTTAAGGATCAGGTTAATGAAGGCCCTAGAAATGAATAAGATGTGCGAACCGTCTTCAGAAATCAGACATGGCCAGCCAGGTGGGTTTTGTAGATGCTATGACAAATTGTGGCTTTGACAATAGTGTGGAGGAAATGAAAAAAACAAGCATGTAAAGATGTCAGATAATTAGAGGAGATGCTCCACAAATAAGTTGAGAGGGAACCTAATAAAAACTTTAGTTGTTGAAGGTGCAAGGTTTATTGCTCCAGGTCCTATTAGAGACTGTAGTTACAAAATCCAAATTAGGCTTGGAGACCTCAACAACAGTTAGGTTGATGCAGTTTGAGCTTCTTGAAGACGCTGGACAAGATGTGTTCTTGTCAGCATGTGCCATCAGAAGACTTAAATGGGATTAAAAAATCTTATGGTCCTGTGGACATTACTCATAGTAGGAAAATATGAAGAATGAGCAATGCCGAATTAAATATAGAAGTGATAGCAGTTTAATTAGAAGATACATATGAGTTTTGATATTGTTAAAAAACAAGTAGTATACTACATGTTTTTTGCTATCCTGATTAGTTGATGCCCTTTTTGCAGGTTGTGCTAGATGAAGAAAAGCAAACTGCACTAGTAGATAGAGGTGGATGGTGGAATCAAGACATTGTCTTTGGATTTACCTGCTGTGATAATGTAATTTTGTCTATTACCCTTCTGGATTTCTTTGTTTTGACATTTAGGGGATTATCTGAATGGATATCATTTAAATCTAATAAAATTGTTGATGAAAAATAGTTGTTTAAATCTGGCCCAGTATTTGGTGTGTTTTTACCTATTTAAGGAAAAGCTGGTTTGCTTAAGTTTTAGTCCTAGTTGCTGTTATGGGTTTAAAACTTTGTTACTTATATCTGCTGGATGAGAAATTAGAAAAGAGAAACTGCCTTATTGAAGGTAAATCAAAATATAGCATTGTTGGTTTTAGCAAATGATGAAATGTGTTCTGCTCCATCCATTTCGTCTCCTAATAACATTCTCCCAGGTTTCAGACTCTGTGCACCTGCCGTCATACTCATAATCCAATCTGGATCAATCTCAGATATCTTTGGATTCTGTGTCTAATTCTTTTGCAAACTTTGACACTTTTGAGTTATTACTCCAATTACTGACTCATCTTTAGGATCAATTTTTCATAGTGAATGGCATTCTTCCTTTCAAAAATGCAATCCGCGATTCATCATTCCATTATCAGACCCAGAGGTTTACTCAGCCAGCGATTTACATGTTCTGTAGTGGGGACCTCAGAAAGTTATGATGCAATCGTTAGTTCCATTTCTGACTCATTAAGCAAAGGCCTGAATTGGGAATCACTGTCCCAAAAGTTCATCCCTGTTCAGTTGACCGAGTCGTTGGTCCAAAAGGTACTTCTCCATCTAAAGGAACCCATAAAAGCAAAGCAAGCTTTAAAATTTTTCCATTGGTCAGCCCATCACACTAAGTCGCGGCATGGAATTTCCTCTTATTGCCTTGCAATCCACATTTTTGCCAAAGCTAAGCTTGTAAAAGATGCCAAGGCATTGATTGAATCAATTTTAGCTGAGCCCTGTGAGGTGGCTACAGTTTCTGGGATGGATTCTAAAGTGTTGTGTGTTTTGGACTCACTGATTCAGTCTTATGAAATTGTGGATTCGGGACCTTTGTCTTTTGATTTGTTTATGCAAACTTGTGCCAGATTGAAAATGATTGATAATATCCTTGATGCTTGTAAAATACTGGATGAACATGGGTTTGGATTAAGTGTTATTAGTTATAATACTTTACTTCATGTAATGCAAAAATCCGAAAAGACTTATTTGGTGTGGAGTTTGTATGAGCATATGATAGAGAAAAGAATGTTCCCAAATGAGGTGACATATAGGATAATGGTTAGTACTTTGGGTAAAGAAGGGAGGTTACAGTGGTGTTTGAACATCTTGGAAAGGATTAATGGAAAGAGATGTACCTTGCCTGGAGTGGTAGTGAATACTTATTTGGTGCTTGGCATGATTGAGGAGGGTAGGAGTGAAGATGGCCTACTGTTATTGAAGTGGATGATGCTAAAGAATATGATTCTTGACACTGTTTCGTTTTCCTTGTGCGTGGTTGCTAAAGTGAGGATGGGTGACTTGGATGATGCTTGGGAAGTTTATGAGGAAATGCGTAGAAGAGGTTTTGAGGGGAACTCTTTCGTGAATACTTCATTTATTCGGGCTTATTGTAAGCAAGGGAGAATTAAGGAAGCAATTGAGTTGGTGCAAGAGATGGACAATTTGGAGGTAAAACCCTATGATGAGACTTTTAATCATTTAATTGAAGGTTGTGCAAGAGCAGGATATTGGGAGGAAAGCTTGAAATTTTGCGAGAGAATGATCAAGGTGGGACTTGTGCCCAGTTCTTTGGCATTTAATGAGATGGCAGAAAAGCTTTGCTCACATGGGGAGACGAGGCGGGCTGATGAAATTTTGACCATGTTATTGGAGAAGGGGTTTGTTCCAGACGAGGATACCTATTCTCATCTGGCTGAGGGCTATCTGAGACTGGGTAATGTGGAATCCATTTTGAAACTGTACTACGAGATGGAACATAGATCAATTGTCCCAAGTCCGTTATTCTTTACCTGCCTGATTACTTGTCTTTGCCAGAATGGGCGAGTAAAAGAAGCAGAGGAATATCTAATTCCGTTCAAAGCAAATTCACTTGCTCTGCCATTACATGTGTATGAGATGTTGATTGCCAGCTATCTTGAGAAAGGTGAGAATGCCGTGGCACAGCAGCTAAGTGAGGAAATGGTCAGAAACAGCTTGAGGGATGGCTTGTAAATTTGTTATACTGGGGGATATGATTGCTATAATAAGCAAATGCAGTCCTTTTCCTGCAAATGGAGGTAGGCTGTTAGAAAATTTGTAGATGAGTTTTTATTAATTGCATCAAAATGGAAGATTTGACGGTATTTTGTATGTATCTTTTCCTAACAGGGTGAGTTTCTAGCAAATGCAGTCTCTTCCATGATTGGTGGTTCCTCTGGAAGTTTATTTGGTGGAATAAAATTTATGATGGTTTTGTGGATTCCTTTGCTTAAGTTTATTCTGCGGTTTCATACCTGTCCCCCATTATGATGCTCCAACATTCATGGAAAATCGGGTGGGGAAAAGTTTGAAGCAGCTGGCAAACTGAATTCACTTTTATAGAGACTACATAGAATAGTTCTTCCATTGAGAATAGCTTACCTGGAGTTTGCACTTAATCGGAAATGTCCATGGGATGAATCTTTAGGTCATGAGCTTCTCTTGCTTCTAGAAAATTGGCTTTGTGACAACAATATGAAGACCCATCGGTAAATTCCTTTCCCCTCGTGTATTGGTATATATCTTTACTTTTACCGTCTCTAGTGATTTAAATTATTGCATCTTTCTGCTTGCAAAGGTACTTTACATGGGCTGAATCCTCCTTTGCCAACTTGTCTTTTAGCTGTTTGTGTAGTTTCTTTTGTTGATTCATATACTGGTTGATGAGTTATGGTGACATTTCATACATTCAACTTTCTTTATGTTCTATTTACAGGTTTGCCTTTTACATTATTTTTCCAAAAAGAAAATTATGGAATTGAATTTAAACGAAATTATGGAACTGAATTGTTATTTAATTTTTCTTATGTCTAATGGAATTCAGTTCTTTATCAAACTTTGGGGAAAACTGTGCTATTGTGATCAATTTAGTAATCTCTTTCCCCAATGCTTTTTGGGTAAGGGTGACTGTTTGATGGACCAACCTGTGTAGAGTGAGCTCAACTATAGCAGATCTTTGGCAAGAAGGCAGAAATCAAAGTTATGGAAAAAAATAAAACCGTGGTAAAGATTGCTGAAGTGGAGTAAACTGCTCCTGGAATTCTTAGTTCACACTGAGGGAATCATTGCACCCAATGGAAAGTTGCACCACACAAGTTTACTATCTTATCATTGTTGGGAGTCAAATTTTCTGAGTGCAACAATGTTTTCTAGTGTGTATAAGTGTTTTTTTGGTGTGCGGTAAAATTAGCAATCAAACATGTACAGAGATGAAGATCCTCACATTTGAAAAAGACTACATACTCTTCTAAGAACCTTAGTGCTCTTTCTTTGAATTCTGATCTATCTTTCTTCTCTGTGTTTTGACTGCAGAAGTAACTTTTGTCAGTCTTTAGAAGCGCTATACTATCTTATGCAGTAGTTTACCTTTATGTTCATGCTGCAGATTCCTGTTATTTGCAAATTCAACAAAATGAGCATGGTGAATCTTTTCGCAAGTCTTGTGAAGGTAACTTCTAGTTTGGGGATGTTTTGTTATACTATCTGGTGAAATAAGAGCTTGTAACAATATGTTCAAACAGATAGAAGATGTCAATTGAGGCAGATTGATAAGAAAATTGGAGGATTACAATATGCTCAAGTGTTGTGGTTTAGGTTTTTGAATGGCTGGAACATAGAATTTATTAGATTCATGTTACCTAGACCTACTTTTACTGATAGATTTTTCTCCACCTGCCTTGTAGTATTCTACATCAGTTTTGGTTCTATCATTCTGTAGAAGTTAGAAGTGGCTTGTGTGATCTAGCCAATGATATGGTATGTATAATATATTGCTAAAATGGCTGATCTTTCATGGATTCGTCTCTACAGATAAAAGCTGGCGAAGAAGGCTTTTCTGATTATGATTGATCGCTCACGCCTGACAGAAGTTATTCACTTGTTGGGAATTACAAAAGAAATAGTTAATTCCAACAATTAGCAGACGATTACGGCATTGTCGGGCTCAACCCTACGGGCGCCTGAAACCCACTTTCAGTGCCTTTTGTATGCTTTGTGAGATTCGCCGGTTGTACAGTGCTTTTTAGATGGTCTGTACTGATAGTGATTTTTATTTTTTTTCCCTTTCCAAATATTCTTTTCTTTTCATTTATTTATTTATTTTTTGTTGATAGCGAAATTTGTATATTTTTATTACAACCAAAGGGAAAGATTCAAGCCCATAGTTTTGGTGGTTTAACACAATTAGCCAAATTACAGCAAAGCAACAGTGTCTTTTGTGGGTCAGTAATATCGAAAACTCTTAATTTCAAGAGGATACTGATTCATTTATTGTAATGCTTTCACATGTTACAATGAGCCTCGTTATAATTACATTCCGTTAAAAGAATATCAAAACTCTCCATCCCTTAAGCCTTTACCATCTTCCTAGTGTATCTATCTCATAGTATTTCGTATTCACGAAACTTGAAGGCTGTAGTTTTTTCTCCTGTTTCGTGCCTTGCTTACTTCTAGAAGTAATTGCTCCATCTGATTTTAATCAACCAAGTGATTCCAAAATGGGTCAGATTATTTCTTCGTCTCTACAACAACTGTGTCGAAGGCCGTAGCTCAATCTGGTGGTGATCATCATAAAATGTTCATTTTGTGTTGTTTTTTCTTAAAAAAAAAAAAAAAAAAAAAAGAGAGATCGGTTGCTTTCGTGCTTTTAAGTTTTGAAGTTTGATAGCCAAATTATTACTCATATACAGAATGTAGAAGGGTATAGATAAATGAAATCGAACGATCGCAAAGGGAAACAGATGAACATAAAAGCCATGATTTTCATGTATAATAAATAAATAAGTCTGAATACAAACATATTACTTTTATAATTCAAATGCTTATATTATCATTTTTGAAAATATTTTTAGGGAGATATTATCGATACATCTTCCCTCCCCACTTCCTTGTCTTACATCATATCCACTACATTTTATTTATAATTGTTATTATTATCACTTTTATTATTGTTATTATTATTTTGAATTTGGCAAGATGAGATAAGCTTACGAAATTCTTGAAAAAGCAGGAGGAAGACATCAGGGAGATTTGGAGTTTCTGGTGTGGAATCCCTTGACTCCTTTTGTATACGATGCCCCGGAACCACTTTGGAACTTTATCTTCAATTTTGGTCATTAATCACTATTTTGTGTTCTATTTTCAAATAGAAAAATAAATTATTTCCTCTCTCAGAATTTCTTCTTCTCCTCCTTTCTATTTTTTAGGAAGTTTTTTTTTATTGCTTTCCCCTAACTTTTTTTTTTAACGCCAGGAACCCCACCAAAAATGGGTAAACTCATGCCTACTGTAATAGCCTACAAATCATAGTGACAGATAAAGTACCCTAGGCAAACCCAGGGTGATAAGCTTGGGTGCGAAATTCAGGGATTCATTAATAGGTTAGTCATAACAAGCCTCTAGAGATGTCAATAGGCAAGGTGAGAGTCAACTCCTCACCTTTTGTTGTAGTGAGAGATTGAACTCATGATCTCCTTTTGGAACAAGAGTGGCTTTGCCCTAACTCGTCTTCATTTTTTCCCCCAATTATCACTATTTTTTTTTGTTATAAAAAAAAACCGTCTTAAAATCAGTTAACAATCATTATGATTAGCCAAGTCTAAAATGATACCTTTGTCATTTTTTCTTCTTGTCCAAAAAAATACAAAGTTGCTGGACTCCTGCTTTAGAATTAACTCGTACATATATTTACTTCTATGATACAGTGACTTCGTTATTTACAAAAATATAATAATTCTTAACAGTCTCATGACTTGTACGTATTGGCCCTAACGTTTCTTGGAATCTCCTTTACTGAAACAGAAGTTCAGACCTCAAATGGTTGAGGACTATGGTTAATGTCCGAGTTTCCTGATCAATTCTACAACCACTTTTTTTTTTTTTTTTTTTTTTTTCCTTATCCATTTCAATTACTTCTTCGGTCTCATTGTGATATTTCACCTTTTGTTGTAACAAACTAATTAAATAAATTAGGACTGGTAAAATGTCACGGAATTAGTAATAACATATATGTGTACGTAGCTCCCCACCAAACCAACAGAATGTGAATAATATTCGGAATATCCCACTAATTAGCAAGATTAATACTATGTAATATGTATAATCAGTTATGCTTAATTCTTTGCCATTTGTCATGCGGCTACGGCCAAGTAGCCAACACTGATGACATAATAGCTTTTATCAAGTTTGTTCATGCTTTCAGCTTTTTCAATACGAATCAGCGAAGCGGTGGTATAAAACCAATAGCCTGGGTGATTGAGATTACGATGTTATTGGTTGAAGAAAAATGAAACCAATGCATTGTTGCCAATTTGCCGTTAACAATGACATCCATTTTAACATGCCAATTGATTGGCCATTTTTTTTTTTTTTTTATCCCCGAAAACTAATAAACAAAATTGATGATCTTAATAATTCCAAGAAGCCCTTTCTCGAATAATGAATGTAGAATTGAAGTCGCTATAAACAAAAATCAGCATCTTCAAAAGTAGATGCTTAACTGGTTGTAGAGAAAGAACAAAACAAAAAGGGTTGGGTTTATATAATTAGAGTTAATCTTAGTCTGTGTACTTCAAACAAGATAAAAAAGCATACTAGTTGTTGCACCTTTTTTTTCCCCTTCAAAATTCCAAGAATATGGCAACCAGTGTTTACACATCAAGCTATGGAAGTTCATTTCTTCCAAATTATCTTGAAAGCCATCATCTCAAAACCCTATCCAACAACAAAGTGAAACTAAATGTCGCCATGAAAATGCATGCATCATCCCTAGTTGCGAAATCATCTCTTGTGAAAGAAGAGCAATTGGAAGACAAAACACCTTTTACTCTAGACATTCTTTTTCCGAAATTCCCATTTGAAGATTACATGAGATCAAAGGCAATCCAAGTGAACAAAGCACTTGATGATGCCATCCCGATGAAGGACCCTATCAAAATCCATGAAGCAATGCGATATTCCCTCCTAGCCGGCGGCAAAAGAATCCGGCCGATACTATGCATTGCTTCTTGTGAGTTAGTCGGAGGGAATGAGTCACAAGCCATCCCAGTAGCTTGTGCAATTGAAATGATCCACACAATGTCACTCATCCATGATGATCTTCCATGCATGGATAACGACGATTTACGCCGAGGAAAGCCCACGAATCACAAGGTTTATGGTGAAAACACAGCTGTTTTGGCCGGTGATGCACTTTTATCACTAGCTTTTGAACATGTTGCCACAAAAACTAGAAATGTTTCACCAAACAGAGTTGTTAGAGCCATAGCTGAATTAGGCTCCTCGGTCGGCTCAGATGGGCTTGTTGCCGGGCAGATTGTGGACTTATCAAGTGAGGGGAAAGAAATAAACTTGGCTGAACTGGAATATATTCATATCCACAAAACATCCAAGCTTTTAGAAGCTGCAGTAGTTTGTGGAGCAATTTTAGGTGGAGGGAGTCATTCAGAAGTTGATAGAATGAGAAATTATGCAAGGTGTATTGGATTGTTGTTTCAGGTTGTGGATGATATTCTTGATGTTACAAAATCATCCCAACAACTGGGGAAAACAGCTGGGAAAGATTTGGCATCTGATAAAGCTACTTATCCTAAGCTAATGGGGCTTCAAGGAGCAAGGAAATTCGCTGATGAATTGGTGGCTATGGCCATTGAAGAGCTTAGCCACTTTGATGCTGCAAAGAGTGCGCCTTTGTATCATTTGGCTAACTACATTGCTTACCGGGAAAATTAGTGTTCCCTGTAGGCAATGCAGCTAGCAAACTGATCGTCCTCGGCCTGCTTTTGGGGATTGATTAACTCGTATATATTAACATTTAAAAAAGGGTCTTAGAATTCTTGTGAAATATTCCACTCCATTATCTCATCATAGTAATATCTGTAATGTGGATAAAATGTAACAACGCTCATTTCAAATCCACAAACATCCCAAAAATGTTTGACGACCACCATGAGTTTATATCATCTTAAAGTTCTTAAATTCTGGTTCTATTTTACTGAAAATTTATTGGAAATTTCCGCTTATTACACATCTACCACAATTCACAACTTGGAAAGAAGCACATCATACATAAAGGCAACTTTACGCTTGATTATAACTGAACTTTCTGATTTCATCCATGATTTCAGGAAGTCGGCATTTATTTCCAATTTAGTACCGTGATAAGATGCACATATAGTGATTTTACACATATACAAATTCCCTCAGTAAGTGCATTTTTAGTCCATAACCAGCCAGATGCTAGAGTTATCTAAGGGCCTAAGGCAGAAAGCATTCAACCAACTTGACTACAGGAAATAAGATGCCAATTATTGTGGTTCTTCAAAATCCCAAAGTTCACAAACGTATTCAAGGTTACACAGAATCAATTAACCCTCAACTTTTGGTCTCCAACCTTCGATCACATCCTCTTTTTGAGCCCTCGTATTGATGAAGGAATCGCGAGAAAATATTGTCTGTTCCCAAGTCAACAAAATATTAGGAAGTAGGGAATTTCGTATAAAACAAACACATGTAATAAAATCAAACTCACAAAAACAGTTCAATTAGTTTCTAAAATGATGTAACACAATTCCAAAACATAACTCAAAACAATAACATTATGTTGAGTTCGAACACATTTCAAGAGTTTTAACCCCAAACTTTTGACTACATTTCAAGCATCGACCACTTAGCACAAAGATGCAATCAACCACTAATTTGACACTGCCATTGAAAGAATGCTGTATGCATATCATGTGATAACACAGACTTCACAAATAAGATCGAGTCTAGAAACAGTGTACCTCCATGTATGACTTCAGATAAGGAAGAGAGTCTGGGACAGACCATTTTTTATAATGCCCTAAAGCAATTTCTAAGTGGTAGAGCTTTGGTCCAAGGGACAAATCAGCGGCCGATATTTTATCTCCATAGATGAAAGGGCCCTGCACAAGAAAATGAACCAACGATTACAAAAAATTTCGACTTATGAATGTCGGGAAAATGTTTATTTAAGTGCACAACTGCACAATCAATGCGACTAACTTCTCTATTGAGTCAGTCCAAGTGGTAAGTAGGCCATATCCAGAGTACACTATTGTCTCGATGCTTAATTTGTTAACACGGACACATGGTTCAACAACTAAAAAGTATAAGCATCAGATCAGAAGTAAAGTACTCACATTATCTTTGATATGGCCATTGAAAGCAGTCAACTCATCAAGCAATGCCCTTTCCGTTCCATCATTGGGATTTTTGCTTTTCAGGAAGTCAATGAATTTGCGGAAAATGTTCGATCCTCTACAATTTGAAAATCAAATTTACAATAGGGTTTCTTCTTTATGACCGTACAGATGAACTTGAACAAAGCATAAGCCTATTTAGAATGCAGATCCTAATTACGAACACAAACGGTTGCAAATCGTAACACCATGTTTCTTACAAGCTGTACAAATTGAATACCTTGAGGCTTCATTTCAACAAATTTTAAGGATTTAAACTTAATAAGTAAGATTCAGAACTGAGGGACTGTCAAAAAGTTAAAGCAGCAAGAACATCCCAAAAATTTAACAAAAAAAGAATAGCACAGTTGATATGAAAATTAATCAAAAAGAAATCAGAATAACGAACTAAAACATACGGCCAGTCCTTCACAGTTGGGGCTGGCAAGGGTGGTTCAGGGAATTTCTCCTCCAATGCTTCAGTGATAACATCTGAATCCGGAATCCATTTGTCATCTAGCTTGATCAGGGGAACTAAACCCTTTGGGCTCAATTCTAAGAACCTGATGATTTTATGCCAACGGTTCATCAGAACAATGCAGAAGAAAGATTCTACTCTAAAGTAACCAAAGATAGGCATATAGCAGAAAATGCAATGAAGACTAGAGACTTGAAAGAGTACCATTCAGGCTTGTTAGATAAATCAACCAACTTCAATTCATAAGGCAAATGTTTTTCCTCCAGAGTCAAGAGAACCCTCTGTGTAAACGGACCTGAAAACAATCACACACACACACACAAATGAACACAACAACTCTCGGAATTGAAGTAAAAAAAGATATAGAAATACAACATATGCGATAGGTGCTTACAATCGCCGAGCGTATTGGGGGTGGTAACGGAGGCCTTGGCACAAACTTCAAGAGGGTCGGTGCTATGTACGGACGACATTGAGACCTTGAAGCTTTTCCGGGTTAATCGGAGCGTGGGTCGCCTTGAGCGGGTCGAATTCGGGGCAGCGGTGAAAAGCGTTCGTGCGATGGGGGAGTGGAGGTTGAGGTTGCAGGAAAGGTGTTTGATGAATGTTGTGGAGAGTGCGGATGGTGACGGTGTTATTCTCGCCGTCGCCATTTGCTTTTTAATTTTTTAAGTTGAATTGTGACTGTATTCCCGGGCAGATACAAACGGACTGACGTCTTCTTTAACGGTGGCTTGTGTCGGAGAGACAGACGTGTGGCGTGGACTTATCATCATCCTTATATACTTTCCGGAAAAAAAATCATAGTATTTAGTTTTGATAAGATATTGTGGACGTGGACCTTCTCTATTTTTCCTTTGGAAACTACTAGTAGGAAAGGAATCTATGGATCCTGTTTTATTAGTTTTGATTCACTTTTTACGTTTTAAAAGGGGAAAAAAATACAAAAGAACACAAAACACATAACAAGAGGTCACTAGAATCTTTTTTATTCAGGAAAAATTATACTGTCCTACTGTTTTTTTGTGGAGATGTTGGCGTCGACTTGTTCGTCTACTTTGAAAATCAATTATTTTGTATCATTTTCGCAATTTAAATTTTTTTTGAGAGAATTCGTAATTTAATTATGATATTAGTGTTTGGTGTGTCTCAAAATCAACTTTCCCGTTGAAATTTAAAATTTTATAAAGTATTTACATAAATTATGTATTTACTTTTTCAATTTTCACCAAAAAAAAAAATCTTATTACATATTCGTTTTGTTCAAATGACGACAAAAAGACTAACGAGTGTCAGTATAAAGCATAAGTTATAAATTGTCTTGCCGACTTTTAGTGCTCAGGCTTAAAGTCTACTCAATCTGAAATTAATATGGATCAATTTGGTCATCTATTTTTACATCCCCATTAAAATTTCGAACCTGTTAAACTAGTACTTGTACGCGTGGGTGTGTAAATTGAGAAGGAAAAGACTGAACCTTCTCTAAAACAACCACCAGTCCGTAACTGCTAAATCAAATCGTTCAAACTAAATTAATCAATGCAATAGTGAAAATTGGCCTATATATGTCGTGAGTTGAAAGTTTTTATTCAAACATAAAGGAATAAAAAAAAAAAGAGAAGAAAGAGAATAGGATATCAAGGTGAATACCTCCAATAGCGGAGGCGACGATAGAGGACATGATAGTAGCGGCGGCGGTAGCGTCAGATAATAATGACGAAAGAGGCAGAGGAGAGAGAGAATTTTGAAGGACAGAAGAAAAAGATCTATTTTGGTGAATTATTTTACATTCATCTTATTTATAGATGAAGAGAAGAGTATTAGAAAAAATTAAATGAATCATATTAGAGAATGTTAGAGATTTGGAAGATTTGATTCTGATATATATTTTCTAAATTTAAATATTTTAAATTTTAAAACGTATTAAAGAACACGATGATCACATTATTTATTTTTTTGGAAATAAATAAGGTAAAACAATAAAATAGTAAAATTCGGATTAACATATTTACCGAATTACTTTCACTGTTTAATGAAACTCAAACGTGGAGGCGACACGTGTCCTCAAAAGTTATTGATGGTCTAACTAAGATGAATTAGCTTCTGCGAACCATTATCCTTTAATATACACTAGTGTTTACCACGCACATTGTGCGGATTGTTAAAAAATAACATTAATGAAATAAATTGTAATTGTGTAATTTTTAATGTCAGTATGTTTTGTTATTATTATAAGTACATTTGGAATAATTTTTTATAATTGAAATCACCCAATATAACTTATTGTCCATATTTTTCATTTTATTGATTTATTCTTTTATATCTTTCGAAATTATTGTATTAATTTTTCATAATGATCTCTTCAAATGTTTCTACCCGTGTCATATTTTTTACACTCTTACTCTCACAGAAATTTTTTCATTGTTTTTTTCCATAAACTATATCTTTATTTTCCATCTCTCTATATAACTTTTGCGACCTTTCTTTAGAAGTTAATTCGTATATTTTTTTTCCTGTAATGTAATATTTACTTCATTTTTTTCCTTAGTTGTATAGTGTTCGCCTGTTTTTCTTGGTCACAAAGACCTTTATTCTTCCCTCATTTTGGAAAACTTTTTGCATCATAACATTAACATTTATTAGTAATCGTATGATTATACGTTTTGTTTATCATAACGTTAAATTTTTCTATCATTATATCATATGAAAAAAAAATATAACGAATGTGTTGTATTATTACTTTTTTAGTAATCATTTATTATAATATTTTTTAATATATATAAATATAATATAATATATCCTTATATTATTATAATAGTATGGCCGATAATATATACTTATGTTATTAGTATTATTATATAATTTTACTTGGTTTCTTTAGTAATTCTTACATAAAATAATCAATAGTAATCATTTATTAGCATTGCTCGATCAGAGGTAAATGTATGTTACCATTAAAAAACATTTACAATCGCAACGCCACCAACTGAAATATTTATAAAAAAAAATACACTAACCAATAAAAAAGAGAAAAATTCGATTAACGATTACGCTTTAATACATCACTATAGAAATCAATATTGACTGATGAATTGGTTTTCTCTCTCTAACAGAAATTTTTTCATTATTTCTTTTCATAAATTTATTTTTCATCGATGTATACATATTTTACTTTAGAAGTTTGTTTGTACTTTTTTTTTCTTTCTATAATATAGAGTTCACGTTTTTTCCCACTAAATTAACCATTTAAAACAACAATGTAAACTTACACAACTTAATATTACACATGAAAACTCAAAACCAGGACACATGTGAAGGACAATATATTATGATTAAATTTATTAAATTATGATCAAATTCAAAAGTGAAAACTCTATATATTATGACTAAGATGTGTTTAATCTTTCCTTAACACATGCGTTTTTGAATATGGAGTGTTCAAACTTAAAAATATATCATGATCACATGTGAAGGCAATATTTTCATTAGTGTATATCGGATAGTTTTTTCCCAAAGTCATGTGATCAAAATAACAAAAATATATTTGGGTCACTAACTTAAATATAATGGAATGAATTTGTGCTCATCTGGCTTATATTAATATCATTATAAGTCGTAGGTGATCTATTCATAATAAGCTGTTGATTACGGGTTTTTTTTTTTAACAACAAATTATTTTTTTTATTTATTTTTTATTTCGGTTGGTTAATTTTGGATTTTTAATTTCAAGTTTTTTTTTAGACACCTATCTTTTTTACCATTAAGGAGTAATATTCTAGTTACTTTAGTTTTATATATAAATTTACAATTTTACATTAAAAAAAATTATCATTAAATGATGGAGTGATGTGGTTGCGACATGTGGACTTGGCTATCTAATTTTCGCCACGTGGATTGACCTATCTAATATCGCGTCATGTATCCGATTGAATACTCTCCTTTAATATATACTAGTGTTTATCATGCACGTTGTACGAGTTGTTCAAGATATATATGAGTTTAATGATTTAACGATTGTATGACATTTTTGACGGAGTGATATATATATATAACAACAAAATAATTTACTGATGTAATTTGAAATTGTGTTATTCTTAATGTCAATGCATTTTGTTATTTTGAATAATTTTCAATATTCTAAATTATCCAATGTAACTTGTTGTCCATCTTTTTCGTTTTGTTGATTTATGACTTTATATATTTTATTAGAAGTATACTCTTAATTTTACATAATGCTCTCGTTTCACATCTTTTATATAACAATAAATAAAAGGAAGGAATAGTGAAAGGGACCATGAAGATCTTCCGTTTCGGCCTATTGAGTTTGAACAGTAACATCACAAGTAGTAGTAATTGATGATAACAATAATAATAATAATTAAAAACCCTTGCTAAATACAAATTTGGTACTTTTTTTGCTCTTTCTATGTTCCAACCAATAGACGCTTCGTCTGATTGACCAGAATAGTTATCTCCAAAGTCTCAGATTGATTTATTGACAGAAGTCAAAGAGGGAAATAGGAAACATATTGATTTCTTGGCATAAGCCAAAGGGAGAAATGTGAAACGGAGGAAGAAGTAAGATGTCAACCCAAACGGAATTGAATAACAACCTAGTGTTAAGATATTATACTTCCTAGTATTAGACACATATTTAATTACATTTAAGTACGGTCCATTGGGGTGAATTTTTTATTTTATTTTTTTTCAAGCATAAGTGTTTGGCCTTTTGTTTGGAATACGGAAATGTGAAATCCTAGAGTTGATGGAAAACGGATAGCCAACTGCTGGCAAACATCTTATCCAACGGGGGTCCCTTTTCCTTAGAAATTTCACTTTGAAATGGTAGAGATTCGAGCTATTATGGAGAGAAAAGGTTATACAATACATCATATTTTCAAATAGGCTAATGCGGATGCGAATAGGCGGATAGCTTAGCTCGAAAAGCTTCAGTTTGACATTTCGAACAATATGCGGGTCTTGGTGATCTCCCGAATTACATCAAGGGTCTTCTCCTCTTAGATCAACAGTCTATGCCATATGTGAAAGTCTGGTAGTCTTAGTAAGGTGGCTACATATGTGGACCTTTGTTATAATAGATAGACTTTATTATATCTCTACACATTTCTGTATTCTGGTAAGTCTTAGGCACTACCAGTTCTTCTATCTTTAAATAATATGGGGATTCTTCGGGCTTTGTGTTGGGAGGTTATAATATTAATTTTAGAGATATACTCTTTAAGCTCTCAGCTCAAAGTTTCGCAAGTATCTCTTTCTTCTTGCTTAAAAGAAAAAAAGATATCGACCCAATAACTCTTTAGAAGTTTAGCCAATGTCTCATTTCCCTTCATCCGTCAGCCTTCACCATTATCAACGGCAGCATCCCTGATCAATATCCAAATAAGTTTGCTATATATGAAGAGCGTGTCAGAGAATAATTTAAATTATAGTTGGTTAACTTGCTCTTGATTAACAGAATAAAATTAGTTATCTATTTTTTTGCCATGTTAATCCCCCTTCCTCATTTTACGTCAAGTGTTCAATAGAAAACTCTCTTTTAATATAGTCGATTTGTTTATTTATGAATAATAAAATACCTATCTATTCAATTTGTTCCAAAAATTGGCAATTTGTGTAATTTTCTTGTGGTCTGTGAAATTTTTTAATAAAAATAAAAGATGTATCTAGACTCCAGAGTAAACATTCATTGGATTGATATCTTTTTTTAAAAAAAATATTGTAAAAAGATATCTGTTTTATATTTGTTCCATTTGTATTTGGCAATATATGACCATTAATTATTGTGCCATGACGTAGAGTT